TTAGATTTACACTCCCGCAGTATCTCACGTGAACGTTTTTAGAAATGTTTTAATAAAATGTTTTTGGAAAAAATTTACTCATATTTTTATAAGAAGCTTTATTTCTTTATCAAATAAAGTCTTCCGTTGTGTATGCTAAATATCGTGATGTTAACAACTGGAGTACTACGGGGTGTTACACCCTTCACCATTCAGCGCCTCCTTCTCTCTCTACCATTTTTGAATTTCAAACTTTATCTTCCTTCTCTCTAGATTCCCACCATCAAAACTCCATCAAATCACCAAACTTCCTTCACAAAACTTGTTCCTCTCATCCTCCTCTTCAAGAACATACCATTTTTGTTCTTGGAAACCAAATTTTCGTGGTGTAAACCCTTTCATACAGCCATGGTTTTGGGGTATCTTCATTCCATGGAGATGATGGTTTGAGTTATCTTGGAAGAACACTCCTTTGGTGCTTGTTTCCTTGAGTTTTAGTGTAAGTTTCTTGAATCCTCTTCTTGAAAAACCTCACATTTGAGTCTTTATTAAATGTGTGTTCTTTATGGAAAAGATGCATCTTTGCTTGAGAAAAGTGGAAGCTTGAAATGATGGAGCTAACTTGAAGATGTAAGCATGAATCTTTGGAGAAATGATGAACAAATCCTCCTTCCCCTTCACTATGCAATTCGGCCATCATGATGTTTCTATGGGGTTGATGTTTTAATTTGATAAAAATGGGTTCTTGATGTTGTAAAGGGTGGAAAATTATAAGTGGAACCAAGGAAAATGTTAAAAATGTAATCTTTAAGCTTAAGAACACTAATCTTGCTTAAGGATGAAATTTAAACCCTAATGACACTATCATGTAAAATCTTCCCTAATGAGTATAATTAGGATTATATGTTTAAAATTTAATTAACTAGTGGATTAGTGGACTAATTAAGTGTATGATTAATTAATTAAAAATGGTGGAATTAACAAGTGAAAAACCCTAGTTTCCACCTCCTACACATTCAGCCAATGGAGGATGACTTAGGGTTAGTATGTAAAAATTGATGTTAAGACCTAATTAGGATACTAATCAAGGGTTAAAGTGAGGTGGACCATGCATAATAGATTCATTAATTATAGAACCCTAAAAATGAACCTAATTAGGGTTTAGAAGCACTAATTATGTAATTAGTGAACTAAGACCAAATGTGACTGTGAGAATGCATAAGTGACCTAATAATGAAAAAAACCCTAAAATTAAAGTGACCTAGGGTATCTAATCAAACCTAATTAGGGTTTGCTAATTAAACCTAATTATGGAGCTGGTGATCATGTAATCTAATGAAAGAAAATCCTATGGAATAATACCTATACAATTCGGCCATGTGTAAGATAATTAAGGTTTTAGGTGCAAAAATTGCATTTAAGGATGATTTATGGTTTAAGGTGTGTTCAAGGCTTGAATCAACTCACAAATTGAGAATCTAACCTAGGGCTTGCCTAAGGATATAATTTCGGCCATGACGGAATATGATGACCTTGAAGTGATGAAAATAATCTAAGTTACCTTAGTGGCTCTAGAGTGTGGTTCTAAGGTTAGGGAAGGTGTTTGAACTATGTGGTTGCTAGTGTAATAAGTTAACACTTCATAATGCACTGAAATTATGTAATTACGTAATAAATGGTCTAGACTTGTAATGGCATATTATTGACATATGAGTATGAAAAGTGGAATCATTAAATGATGAAGTCTTGGATATGACTTGATTAATTAATATGTAATTAATGATGTGAGTGGTTCCTACTCTAGGTGTGCCTAGAGAACCTTGCACTTAAGGATTGTCTTGGAGCATACATATTTATATTGCAGTGTGGGCTTGTGCTAAACTTCTTAAGGTAAGCTCCTGGTTTTGGTTGCTCCTCTCTCTTGTGGCTCCACCATGATGGTGGACATTATGGTTGTATTGCATGAAAGTATATGATATGTTGTATATGTGCATTCATTCACATTCATATAGATATTATATGATTATTGATGTTATGATGATGCACTGATGATGTATGTTATGAGAATCCTGGCCAGTGATTATGGTATGTAGGTTGCCTATGGCTTGACCTTGGGAGTTATTTCATACTACAGTTTGTGTTGACTGCCTATGACTTGACCCTGGGAGTCACACTAGGCATGTGGGACATGTCAGTTAGCTATTCTTGGGGAGAGCCCTTGAATAGTTAACCAGAGGATGAGTTATGATGCTATGTTTGTGCTATATGTTTATTATATATGCTTTATATCTGACTTGTCATCCAGAAAGTGGGCTCAAGAGATTAGAGGATCCTCTAAGAACCTTGAGCTTACTCAGATGTTGTTATCTCACCCCTTTTAGGGATATCATTTTAGGTACCCATGGTAGTAGTGAGTCTTCTAAGGGCAAGGGCCCAACTACAGATTAGTGGGTTGATGCTGCTGTTTATGTTATGCTATTATTTTGTTATATGACATGCGTAGTGTTTTGACATGCCTAGTTAGATTATTTTGAGACTATATTGTTGTATGTAATAATGCTCAGTATTGTTATTATTTGAGCTTCTGAAGTATGGATGTATTTATTATGAGTTATATTAGAGGCATGTGATGAGGACACAGACATGATGTATAGATTTATTAATTTGGGCACGGAGCCATTATGTATGTAATGACCCATTGAGGGGATCACAGTCCGTGTGGGACATGTGAGCTATTTGTTTATAAACTGTGTCAATCAGGATTGTTTTATGGAGTGAGATTCTTATCTCCCAATTATTCGTTAAATAATCGTTATGCTGTCCGTGAGACTCTGGCAGGAAAGACACTTGTTGTCATATCCGGTTAGTCAATGGCCACTAATAAAGGCTTATAGAATTAGTAGTAGTTGTATGTTTTTGATCTACGCTGACGCAAGATCTCATGTGAACGATTTTGAAAAATGTTTACTTGTAGTTTCAAGAGACGATTTTTCATTTAATAAAATAAAGCCTTCCGCTGTGTATGCTTAATATCATGTATGTTAATAACTGGAGTATTACGGGGTGTTACATTGTGTCAAAGATACAATTTTTCCCTAAAAATTTATGACCTACTCGAGTAATAAAGGTTTATAACTAGGGATATAAATAGGCTAGGCTAGACTAGTCTTTGGCTTAAATAGGTCAAACATATGTAAAAAGCATAGGGTCTGGCCTGACTTGTTAGCCTGTGTAAGCCCCAAATTACAAATCTGGCCTGACCTATATTTAAAAAATAAAATCCTTGGCCTAGGCCCGTTAGCCTATTTAAGCCTATTAAACATTCAATAATTAAAAGAATAACTAAAATAATATTACTTTATTATTCAAAATTATTAAAATAATAATTTTATGGGTTTTATTTAAAATAGATAATATGATATAGGCCGACCTGTAGGTTTATAGGTTCGATATGTACAAAAAAGTCTTTGGCCTGTTTTCTAAATAGGTTTTTGTAAAACCCTAAGCCTATTCTATTTTATTATTTGTAACAGTCTAAGCCTGACCTAATATAGGCTAGGTCGGCCTAACCCATTTACACCCCTACTTATAACATACCATCCATTTTGATTTATTATTCTAATTATAATTTTTATTACAGTTAAATCAGATTTAGATCAACTGTGTGTAATTTTTTTTTTCTCTCTCACGAATATCAAGTGTTAATTTAAATCTGATTCAACAATAATTAAAGATGGAAAGATACTGTTGGATGTGGCAAAAAAATTAAAATATTACTATTTTAATAAATAATTACGAATATATAGTTGTTTCGAAACTATATACGAATCTATTGCACTCATTCACGTCCAAATTAGGCGTGACTATTCACGCCCAAATTAGGCGTGACTCCCAAGACATTCACGCCCACTTTAGGCGTGAATTATCTGGTGTTGACACGTGGCAAAAAAAGTCAACTTACGAACCGTAAAACTTTGGAAAGCCATAACTTTTGACTCAGATATCCGAATGAGATAATTTCTTTTTTGATTCCAGATAACTTTTCGAGATCTACGCAATGACATTTCATTTGACATATTTTATCTCTCAGAAACACAATTCAAATAATTGTATTGTCGTTTTGAACCTAATTACGAATATATTGCACTCATTCACGCCCAATAATGGTACTATAACATTAAATTCAAAATTCAAAATTCAAAATTCAAAATTCAAATAACCTCCAATAAGTTGATTGTATTTTGTATTTAATAGGAGTTGATTGTGTTTTGTATTTAATAGGAGCTGATTGCGTTGTAATTTTATGAGTTGGTTACAGATTGTCGCCAATTCAAATAAATTTGCTAGAGGTTATTTGAATTTTGAATTTAATGTTATAGGAGTTGATTGTGTTTTGTATTTAATAAGAGCTGATTGCGTTTTGTATTTAATAGAAAATTTGGTGCCATCTTATTTATAGATGAGTTAATCCACTTTGGTGCTATTTTTATAGTATCATTGTTGCAAATTTGAATTGTGTTTGTGAGAGATAAAATATATCAAATGATATGTCATTGCATAGATATTGAAAAGTTATGTGGAATAAAAAAAATAATTACCTCATTCGGATACCCGAGTCAAAAGTTATGGCCTTATAAAGTTTTACAGTTAAACTATTAATTTTTTGTGCCACGTGTTAACACCAAACGAGTCACGCCTAATTTAAGCGTGAATGTCTGGGGAGTCATGCTTAATTTGGACGTGAATGAGTGTAATAAATTTGTAGATAATTTTGAAACAACTATGTATACATAATTATTTATTAAAAGAATAATATTTTAATTTTTTTACCGGTTGAATGGATAAAAAAAAAAAGAAATCAATCTTGAGAAATAGTTTTTTTTTTTTTTTTTTTTTTAGAAAAAAACGCAGGAAACGGATGTATCGAAACTACAAAATGGGTTTTTGAAAAAAAAAAAAAAAAAAACTCAAAAAAAAACTCAGAAGGAGGAAACCCCGTTTCTCCCGGAGGAAACCCCGTTTCTACTAAGTATATATACAAAAAGCTATGTTTATGTTATCCCGTGCATACCTAACTGTTCTTTCCCCGTCCGCTATTTGAAGGTGCAGAGTATTTGGTTTGTGTTAAAATACCTCTTCAACTGCCTATAAAGTAAGGTTTAAGCATTTCGACGGTTCAGCTCCAGCAGATTATAACATTCAATTTCCTTCCAGACTAGATTACTTCCATTCTATGGAATGACGCGCAGATCTTGTATAAAGAGAGAGCTGAGGAAATCTATTAGCATAGAAGAGATCGAAGAGGTAGGTTTTTTCTTTTTTCTTTTTTATTTAATTTTTCTATCTTAGCTATGATTTTTCATTCAAAAGAATGTGGGTTTGAAGCACCAATGTTCTAGGTTATGAATTTGAATTCAAAAAATAGATTTTTTTTTGTAAATATACAAGATAAAGTTGTTTTTAAGGATAGTCCTCGTCTCTATTTTCGAGAATTGACTTTTCATTTATATATTTTTTTTAATTTTTGGTTTCCCCCCTTTTTGATTGAGTTCACCAAGTGTAGTCACTAGTTAATTTGAGATAAAAGTAATATTGATGTTGATTAATTGACTTTTATTTATTTATTTAAATATGTTGTTAAGAGAGAGTCTTGAATAGTGGTAACAAGTATTTTTCTCACCCCTATCTTTACTATTTGGGATTTAATGAGAATTGATTTTATTTAAATGTTCTTATTGTAGAACATTATTACACAATGATGAAATTTAATTTGAAGACCATTCTTGGTTGGGACACATTGATTGAGTCTTCCTTCTCTACCTAGAATTCTTATGCTATAGGTTCATTTTCATCAACACCTCCCATGTATTTTGGGAGAGGGGAGGTTGTCTCATTCCAAGGGTAGGGTTTGCCACATGCCTCAACGAGGTTTATAGCTGTACTCATAAATGACCTATCTATTATGCAACCAACTCTGTCAAAAGGTTAAGCTATTAGGTGAAGATAGATGAATGATTTTATATTTTATATTATATCTCACACGTTTTGGTGATTGAAAAGTTACGGGTTCAAATCTTGAAAATATATTCTTTACAAATATGCAAGAGTAAGACTGCATATAAGGATTATTCTTGTTCCACCCTCATTAATCAAGTTTTAATGAGGAGTATTTATTTTTTTTACTTTGCAAATATCCACATTGATTGATGAGGATTTAAATCATAGAATCAGAGCAGGGTGGATGAAATGACGCAGTGCATCTGGATTTTTGTATGACCGCAAAATTTCCTTTAAACTAAAAGCAAAATTCTATAGAACAGCAGTAAGGCCTGCAATGTTATATGGAGCTAAATGTTGGCCAGCATATAGGCAACATGAGCATAAAAGAGGTAGCGGAAATGAGGATGTTAAGGTGGATGTGTGGTTATACGAGAATGAGTAAGATAGAAATGAAGATGTTCGACGAAAGGTGAAAGTAGTACCAGTGGCGGAAAAGATGAGAGAACATAGATTGAGGTGGTTTGGACACGTAATGAGAAGATCATTTGATGCTTCTGTAAGAACAAAGGTTTGTTACCAAGAGCTTGACATAAAGAGAGGTAGAGGTAGACCGAAACTTACTTGGAGGAAGGTAGTAAAACAGACTTAATGGAGTGAGATATAGATTGGCGAACGGTGTGTCTTAGGAAGGAATGGAGGAAAATTCTATAGAACAACAGGAAGGCCTGCAATGTTATATGGAGCTGAATGTTGGCCAACACATAGGCAACATGAGCATAAAATGGGGTAGCGGAAATGAGGATGTTAAGGTGGATGTGTGGTTATACGAGGATGAATAAGATAAGAAATGAAGATATTCGACGAAAGGTGAAAGTAGTACGGTGGCGGAAAAGATGAGAGAACATAGATTGCGGTGGGTTGGGCACGTAATGAGAAAGACCATTGGATGCTTCTGTAAGAACAAAGGTTTGTTACCAAGAGCTTGACATAAAGAGAGGTAGAGGTAGACCGAAACTTACTGGGGGGAAGATAGTAAAACAGGACTTAATGAAGTGAGATATAGATTGGCAGACGGTGTGTCTTAGGAAGGTATGGAGAAAAGCTATAAGCATGGTGGAGGGGTAGATCCGTTTTTATTCCTATGTTCCAGACGATTCCTTTTTAGTCATTTTTCCTCTCTATCTTCCCCCTCTCTTTCTTTTTTTTCCTTTTCTTTTATTCCATTTTTCCTTTCAATCTTTTTTCTCTTACCTATTTATTTATGTGTTTTTCTTTTTCTTTTTTTCCCTATATTCCTTTTTATGTTATTTTATTTTATTTTTATTTCATTTATATTTATTTATTTATTTTTTATTTCTTACCTTCTTATTCTTTTCTGTCCCCCTATATATCCTTATTTGTATTTATTTTAATTTATTTTTTCTTATGATTATGTATTGCTTTTGTATGGATAATATTATATATATATATATATATATATATATATATATATATATATATATATATATACTTAAATTTTATTTTTATCATTTTTTCTCAATTTTTCCGTACCTTTTTTTGGGATCCCAACTAGTTTGGGATAAAAGTGTTGTTGATGTTGACTTTTAACATGCCTACTCATACAAGAGGTCTTTGGATTTGAAGGATGGACAATACACAAACTCACCTATATGTGCTAACAAATTTCACAATATTTGATTTTTTTGAAGAATGAGGGTGACAAAGATTGAAATCTAGATCACTTGGTTATAGAGGCTCTTATACCATATCATGAACCAATTCAACCAAAAAGCTTAAGTTATTATGTGAAGGTAGATGAATGTGTTATGATCCAGTTGTAAGGTTTGGGATTTGAAGTTCTACAATCGAAACATAAGGTTTTGCTGTGGGATCTATATGAACTTTAGACTCTCCTACCTTACATGTTAGGTTTTGGGGTGAGGCTCTTCCAAGGTTTGTATCAATTGATATCAAAACTTTCATTATGTCTCCTAATTGATATCAAAGCTTTCATTAGGTCTTCCAGTTGTTACGATTCAATTGTAAATTACGGGCTTTTGAGTCCCACATCCGAAACATAAGATTCTGGTGTTTGGTTTATATGGACTTTTGACTCTCCTCCCTCACAAGCTACCTTTTTGGGTGAGGCTCTTTCAAGATTCGTATCTGAATGTCTTATATTTTATATTATACTTCTAACGCTAACAATAAATGCTCACTAGTACCCATGAACTTTGGGTTGATCTGGTTCAATCTTACCAACATTAATTAATACAGTTTTTGGTAAAAGTTTATTATATAGTTGTTGTTAGTAATGATTGTTACTGGAGAAAGAATCATTGGAATAGCTTAGAGAATTCTCTGAAGCTTATATGGTATTTATAATGAGTAAAACAATAATGTACAAGTATGGACACCCATGCTAGAGGAAATGGAAACCCATGCTGAAGAATGGAAACCCATTCTTTCATTATTCATCAAAGCAATAATAACATATTCTGACACTCCCCCTCAAGCTGGAGCATATATATCATATGCACTAAGCTTGTCACAGATAAATTGTATTCGTGGTCCCCTCAGTGATTTAGTAAGAATATCAGCAAGCTGATCGCTGGAGTTAACAAATTCAATATGGATTTCTTTAGAAAGGACTTTCTCTCTGATAAAGTGGCAATCAATCTCAATATGTTTGGTCTTTTCATGGAAGACTGGATTTGATGCAATATGCAATGCAGCTTGATTATCGCAATAGAGTCTCATTTGATTGGTATCTCCAAACTTCAACTCTTTAAGTATTTGTTTTACCCATATGAGTTCACATGTAACATTTGCCGTTGCCCGATATTCAGCTTCTGCACTGGATCTTGCAACCACATTTTGTTTTTTACTTTTCCAAGATACTAGATTACCACCAATAAATACACAAAATCCTGAAGTTGATCTCCTGTCACTGGGTGATCCAGCCCAATCAGCATCAGAGTATCCTATAATTTTAGCATTACCTTTATTTTCATACAACAATCCTTTTCCTGGAGCATTCTTAATATATCGTAAGATTCGAACCACCGCATCCCAATGCTCAACACATGGAGCCTGCATAAATTGACTTACTACACTTACCGGGAAGGAGATGTCTGGTCTAGTTAGGGTAAGGTAGTTTAGTCTACCAACTAACCTCCTATATCTGTTAGGATCTGAATACAGTTCTCCTTGATTTGGTAATAACTTGTGATTTGGATCCATTGGAGTGTCAACAGGCTTGCAATCTGTTAAAACAGTCTCTTCCAAAATGTCTAGAGCATATTTTCGTTGTGAAAGCACAATGCCACTCGGTGATTGAGCTACCTCAAGACCGGGAAAGTATTTGAGTCGTCCCAAATCTTTTGTTTGAAAGTGTTGAAACAAGTGCTCTTTCAACTGCAAAATACCCTCATTATCATCACCTGTAATAACTATATCATCAACATAAACCACCAGATAAATACATCGACCAAAGGGAGTGTGACGATAGAAAACTGAATGATCAGCTTCACTCCGAGATAACCCAAATTTCTGTACAACTGTGTTGAACTTGCCAAACCAAGCTCGAGGGGAGTGTTTCAACCCATAAATGGATCGTTTTAACTTACAAACTAGTCCAGACTCCCCCTGAGCAACAAAACCAGGTGGTTGCTCCATATAAATCTCCTCATCTAGATCACCATGAAGGAATGCATTCTTTATGTCTAGCTGAGATAAAGGCCATCGCCTAATAACGGTGATGGCTAGAAATAGACGAACAGATGCCATTTTGGCCACTGGAGAGAATGTTTCACTATAATCAAGACCATAAGTCTGAGTGTATCCTTTAGCAACAAGACGGGCTTTAAGTCGATCAATACTGCCATCAGAGCCTACCTTAACTGCATATACCCAACGACATCCAACAACCTTTGTGTCTGGGGGAAGTTGAACTAAGGCCCATGTATTACTGTGCTCAAGGGCAGTCATCTCATCAATCATAGCTTGCCTCCAACCAGAGTGGGAAAGAGCCTCATTAAAAGTGTTAGGAATCTAAACAGAGGACACAGAAGATACAAATGCATAATATGACGGAGACAAACGGTGAAAACTCAAGAAGTTATAAATAGGATGAGAATTACGAGTGGTACGACTACTTCTACGAATAGCAATAGGAGAATCACTGACAGACTTACCGGGAGTTGATGCAGGTGCAGTAGAGGAAGGTAGGTTCGTAGTAGGAAAAGTCGTTGGGATAGGACATGATGTATAAGGATCCTCAGTGACTACCTCGGTTGTAGGAATGGCTGCCTTGGAACTTCGCTGGTATGTGATGAATTGTTGTTGGGGAGGATCAAGCTGGTCATGATCTGGCAGAGAAACGATGGGTTCCTCATGATCAGGCTGAGTACTTGTAGGTACCTGTAAAGAAGACAAAGGGAGAGCACCAAAGTATGGTACTGGTAAAGCCTCAGAGATTACTATAGGATCAGTGGTTGAAGTGAAGTAAGGTGTGTCTTCGAAAAAGGTGACACTGGCAGAGATATACTGACGATGAGTGATAGGAGAATAACACTGGTACCTTTTTTGCAATCGAGAATAACCAAGAAAGACACATTTGATAGCACGAGGGGACAACTTGTCGCGCCCGGGAGATAGATCATGGACAAAACAAGTACAACCAAATACTCGAGGAGGAACTGTATACAAAGGAATTCGCGGGTCTAACACCTGAATAGGGACTTGATGATTGATAGCAGAGGAAGGCATACGATTAATCAAATAGCAAGCGGTTAGGACAGCATCTCCCCAAAATTGCAGTGGCATATGAGCATCTAACAACAATGTACAAGTAGTTTCAATAAGGTGACGATTTTTTCTTTCGGCTACTCCATTTTGTTGGGGGGTATGCGGACATGATGATTGATGCAAAATCCCATGAGATGACATAAACAATGAGAAGTCAGCAGAGAAATATTCTTTGGCATTATCACTACGTAAAACTTTGATTGTTTTGCCAAATTGATTATGAATCTCACTGCAGAAGATTTGAAATATGGGAAAGACTTCTGAACATTCCTTCATTAAAAATAACCAAGTACATCAAGAAAAATCATCAATGAAAGTCACAAAATATTTAAACCCAGTTGGTGTATAAACACGACTAGGACCCCAAACATCAGAATGAATAATAGAAAAACTAGATGTTTGACTGTTGACCTTACTAGGAAAGGAAGAACGAACATGCTTGCCAAGTTGAACAACTGAAAGACTTTTCGATTTTCAATACCTGGGACCATTTTTTAAGTTTTAATAAACTGGGATGACCAAGACGGTGATGGAGAAGACTAGGAGATTCCACAGTAGCACATGCCATATGAGAGGTTGATTGGAGGTAATAAAGTCCTTGTGATTCATGTCCTATGCCAATCGTCTTTCCCGTACCACGGTCCTGGATAACAAAAGAATCAGAATAAAAAGTTACGGAACACTTCAGAGATCTTGTAAGCTGACTCAAGGAAATTAAATTAAATGGACAACCAAGTATAAATAAAGTAAAATTTAATGACATGGATGCATTGGGTGAGACAACAACAATGCCTCGGACAGATACTTTGGAACCATCAGCTAAAGTTACAAAACGAGGACAAGTAGGTGAAGAAAGAGAAGAGAAGAGAGACTGATTACCAGCTACATGGTCAGAGGCACCTGAATCAAGGATTCAGGGTGTGAAATTATTTCCCGTATGAGAAATACAAACTGTAGGATTACCCGAATGAGCAACAGTGGTAGTAGAGGATTGGGTTGGTTTTGCTGCTTTCAACTGAAGAAATTCCTGAAACTCCTTTTCTGTAAGAGAAAATGACTGTTCACCAGATCTGTTAAATCTCGTCCCTTCTTCTACACCAGGTTCAGACTGAGTGAGATTGACAGATTTATCAGGGAAACCATGTAGAGAGTAACATGTCTCCTGAGTGTGGCCTGATCGCTTACAGTATGTGCAGTGAAGATTGTTGTTGCGATTACCTCGACCACCACGACCTCCCCGAACTCCTCGTCCACCACGACCTCCACGTCCTCCACGAAAGCCAGAGTTAGTGACTAAAGCGGAAGCTGAAGTGTCAATTATGTTAGGACGCGGGTCTGAAGTAGTGGAATTGGGAACCCTCAAGAGGCGAGTGGTAAGATAGTCCATGGTGGGTACTTTGTGACTAGTCAAAAGTTGATCTCGAATGTGATTGAAATCAGGATGCATAGCACGCAATACCAGGACTACATATAGATTTTCCAACTTTTCCAACAAGCCTTGATGGCTGTCAGCCTGTAAAAACATTTTTAGTTCCTCCACTGCTGCCTGTGCCTGAGCGACAAAACTTGTCATATCATGACTATTTTGGTGAAGAGAAGCCAATTTCTGGGCTGCATCATAGAGTCTTTGAATGTCATTAGCAAATAAGTTGCGAGCTTTATTCCAAAAAGTGACATGTTTTAAAAATGCGAATATTAATTAAAATTGTGGGTTCCACAGATTGCCATAACAAGGCACATAACTGATAGTCAAACCTTTCCCATTGACTTCGTTCTATTTGAGGAATATCAGAAATTGACTTTTCGAGATGGTCTGAAAGACCTTGACCAAGAAACCACAACTCAATAGAAGAGGACCAAGCTAAATAGTTCTTACTATTTAACTTTTCATATGTAACTGTTGGTGAACTTGAAAAAGCATAAGCAACTGGAGCATGACGTACCGGATTGGTAACTTCGGATGAAACAGGATCTTTAGGTGAGAGAGGAGTTTTGGGACCAGAAGAATATTCATCATTTGAAGCCATATTTACTCCAATACAGCTAAAAAACAGAACCAAATCGCACAAAACAAGGCAGAAACACAGTACTGGAACATAAGTGGATTGAACAACAAACAATAATAAGTGGATTTGGATAATACACTATTGAAACAAACCAAAATGGAGCAACTCAATACTGGAACAAAAAGAGGAGACTGAGGCGAACTTCACCGCGAATGGAGACGAGCAGTGGAAGGCGGCGCGTGGCCTTCACGCGCTCGGAACTGGGCTGCGCGTGGGCTTCACGCGCTCGGACTGTGGCGGCGCGTGAGGAAGTTTCTCCCGGCGGGGAGCTCCAGATCGGGTCATCGGAATTTTCTGGGTTGACTGGGAGTGTTTCCATCTTGATTCACAGTGGTTTTGAGGTATGTTGGTGAACCTGGGAGTGTTTAAGCTTTTGAATGAACTAAGTTGGTGAACCTGTACGTTGGTTATGGTTCCTGAATGAACCTTGCTCTTGATACCATGAAGAAAGAATCATTGGAATAGCTTAGAGAATTCTCTGAAGCTTATATGGTATTTATAATGAGTAAAACAATAATGTACAAGTATGGACACTCATGCTAGTGGAAATGGAAACCCATGCTGAAGAATGGAAACCCATTCTTCCATTATTCATCAAAGCAATTATAAGATATTCTTACAGTTACAAAGAGTATCATAAGGAATTTACGACAGATTAAGAGCTTGAATTTGAGAGAAGCTGAAGGTTTCTTCCCTGTATCATATTTTCAACAGCCACAGCATCTTTGAAAATGATGTTTCCAGATGTTTGTTAAAAGAATCTATGGCTTTTGAAAATGCAGTGGAAGAAGCAACCATAGAAAAAAATTATGAAATAAGTTTATGGCCTTTGCTGTCACAAAAAAAAAAAAAAAAAAATCATCGAAAGGCATAGCAGTTCTAAACAGGGCCATAGGCTTGACCCTGCTTTACAGATCTGTTTTGTAGAAATGACCTAGATAGAGCAAATGAACAATGGAGAATCCCCAGAAAAAGTCAACTTTGAGGGGGCTAGATTGTATCAGGTTTCTTACGATTGGAGTTACTACTAACAAGGGGAGAGAACAAGGGAAGTGAAGAGATGGAAAAGCATAGAAGAAAAAGAGGAACGTACAGCAATAGGAAAATGGACATTATGCTTCATGGCATTTGACAGGAGGGGTTTTTCTTGAAATCAACCCAGAATTTTTAAATAACATGTGTTCTATCAAATACATTCTTCTGTTTTCTAGTCTAAGTTGAAAAAGGCTAATTCAAGATAAAATGGCCATACCTTTTTGATTCCTTAGCATGAATGTAAATGTATCTATCCTACACATATGCAAGGTATCATTTATGTTATTTATGTGAATTTTCACCATATGGATGGCTTTTTTATTTATACACAACATTTTTTTGTAATATTTCGTGGTTTGTAAAATTATTGTTGTTGAAACTATAAGGATTGAGGTATAGAGGGAGGAAGGAGAGAAAGAATGAATAACATTCTTTATTGTTATCATATGATGTGATACAAAAGACAAAGGAATAAATTGGTTTTGTACTAAATAGATGACTCCTATAAAGAAACAAATCATGAAATTTTAAGAAACGGGGAAACTATTCCTGAGAGATTATCTATAACACTCAAAACTATTTTAAGATATAATCAATATATTACTCAGTATGACAATATATTACGTAAACTATTACAAGGTATTTTCTAGATATACTAACAATTGTCATTATATTCACCAAAAAAAAATTATTGTCATACTCAGTTGTTTAATTAAACTGTCACAAGTTAGTTTGTCTTTGACCCTGATCTGAGGTTATTGGCTGAACATGCTTAGAGTAGAAGAAATTTAAGCCTGCGTATGATCATTTCTTGTGACTATTGATTACGTAAACCTCTCTTTTCTCTATCTAAATTTACTTTAGTTCTTGTTGGCTTGGTTTTTTCAAGCCCTTTCATGGGCCCGTATTTATTCATATTTCTGTTGATTTCACTTATATTTTTGGTCAAATGTAGTTGTTACTTGCTGTGTTTCACCATTTTGTGCCATGTCAAATGCCTCAAGGAGTTTGGTTGCTTCTAATAAATATGAAAGAGCAGGACCTGATTACTTTGGCTATTATTCTTCTGAAGTAGTAAATCTATTGTCACAAGATGAGGATGTTCTGCCTGTTGCTACCCAAACATCCGAGCTACCTGAAAATAAATATGGAGAGGGAAGAAAGAATAATATAGTCAATCACAACGACAATTTTTCTGGTCCGTTTTATAGTGATAGTATTGGAGCTGGGCTTTCAGATTTCAAAAAGGACAGATTAAGATCACTGCTCAGACAGAGTGTCACTGCTCTTTCATTAGAAGTTGATGAGGTATATTGTGCATCTTGTACCAATTAATGGGGTAGCTATTCTTATTATTATCAAGAATCATTTCAACCCAAAAACTTATGTTGTAAGGTGAAGGCAGATGAATAATTTAATATTTTATATTACATTTTTAATGCATGTCCTCATACAAGAGTCCATTGGGTTTGAAGGATGAACAATGCATAGGCTTATGTACCTGTAAAAAAAAAATTTCACAATATTTATTAGAAGATTATTAGAAGAATGTGGATGGTAAGGATCGAACTCAGAACCTTTCGGTCATAGAGGCTTTGATACCACTATATCAAGGACTATTTCAACCCCAAAACTTAAGCTGTTAGGTGAAGGCAAATGAATGGTTTTATGTTTTATATTATATTTCTAATAATCATTAATAAAATAGGCCTCATGGGTTTGTTTTTTATACATTCCACAGTCTTGATGATATGATATTCCTAGTGGTCTTGTTTTTGTGGTACATTTCCCATTCAATCATTCATTAAGAGTGCTCTCTTTATAAGATTTGTAATTATTCATGTGAAAATAACATGATATTGATCATCAAGCTTATAGCTCAATTAGCTCCAACCCTAGTCTTTAAGATTGGGGCGTGATGATGTTTGATAGAATCGTGGATCCAAACACGGTTTAGGATGGGTCCAAGAAGGGGAAGGCCTTATGACTTTATACCCTTAGGCCTTACTAGTGCTTAATTGTAATTAGGAGGGAGACATGTAAATGAAGAGGGAAAATTATATATATATATATATATATATATATATATATATATATATATATATATATATATATATATGCAACGTATCATTGTAATTATATAATTTCACATTTCATATTCCTTTACTCTTTAATATGGTATTAAGAGCAGGTTCGATTTCCCTCTTACTTGGCCATTGTCATGGTTGAAAAATCGAATCCCTCCATCATACCCAAACACCTCCAAGCATTGCCAACCCTAGAAATCAACCTTTCCGAACTCCAACCTACCAACCAAGGCCACCAAATGACCGAGAAGGAGCCTATCATTGTAATTATATAATTTCACATTTCATATTCCTTTACTCTTTACTCTTTAATATGGTATTATGAGCAGGTTCGATTTCCCTCTTACTTGGCTATTGTCACGGTTGAATAATTGAATCCTTCCATCATACCCAAACACCTCCCAGCACTGCCAACCCCAGAAATCAACCTTCCCGAACTCCAACCAACCAATCAAGAGCACCAAACAACCCAGAAGGAACCTATCATTGTGATTACACAATTTCACAATTCATATTCCTTTACTCTTTAATATGGTATCAAGAGAAGGTTCGATTTCTCTCTTACTTGGCCATTGTCACGGTTGAAAAATCGAATCCCTCTATACCCAAACACCTCGAAGCAGTGCCAAACGACTCAGAAGGAAATTTCGAACCGACCCATAAAATTTCACCACCAAGCTCTAGCCAAAAGCTGCCATTGTCGAGCATGTGCAGTCCACGTGCCACCCTCCAGCCACCGTCCCGTTTGCTGCTGCTCCCAACTTGTAGATGGACGCCTTCTCTTCTTATTTCATGCCTTGAAATGAAATTAGAGGTACTTCATTTTTGGATCACTATTCCAAACCCTTGTCTTTCCTATGGTTTCATTCACAAACTCTTCTGGCACGTTTCCTAGCCCTAATATGTCAGAGACTAGGGGTATAAATAGGCCAGATGGCTTGTCAGAGACCTACAGCTTGGCCTGCCTTTGGCCTGGCTTGACTTGACTTATTTTAAAAATAGTACATGCTTGAGCTCATTAAAAGACTTGTATAAAAATCAGGCCACAAGCCGATTTTAGCAGGCTTGGTCTCTAAGCCTCCAAGCTCGTATTTTTTATTAAATAATATTTTATTTTATTTTTAATATAATAATATCTTATTATTTTTTAATAAATTAATATATTATTATTTTTCAATAAAATAATAACTTGTTATTTTTAATAAAATAATATCTTATGATTTTTTAATTTTCACAATCCTCTTTTTTCTCACTTAACAAACACATTTTTTTAACCCTAAATTTTTTCGCTGTCACCACTTTTTTCCTTCCCTCCTTTGCCAAATTTTGCTACTTCTCCCCTTTCTCATTTTCTCAACCCTTCCAAATCATCTATCGCTCACCATCAACTCTCAAGACTTTCCTATACAGGATGAGTCAACATCACATGATATCAATTTGCTCATATGATGGTGCCGTAATTGATTAAAACATGCGAATTGGAATTCTAATCTTTTGGTGGTGTGGATGAAGCAATTAAGTCAATACAATTTGAATCTTTTAATAAAGTTTTTATGGCATTGTTGAACAATTTATTGTCTTTAACTTTTGGATTTTGCCATCATCAAGATTATCATTTTTGTTGAGTTAAATTTTTTAATTCATGAGTTGGTGAATATATATATTTTTTAATTTAATTAAGCATTCTACTTCCTTGCCATTTTTTGTTTTTAGTTTCTAGCAACATAGTTAAATTGTTAATATTTAGGGTTGTTATGTGCATAAAAAAGAAATATATTCTTTCAAGTTAAACATACAAAAGAAACAAAATAATCGTAACCTATATTTTACGGAGTACAATATGCCATTTTCGAAGGCTTGGTACAAGTCTTGTATTTTTCAAAAACAAGTCAGACCAAGCTTATAATTTGGCTTGTATGTCTTGTATTTTTGAAAAACAAGTCATACCAAGCTTATAATTTGGCTTGTATAAGGCTAGCAAGCCAAGCCAGGTTTGAAATAATTTATATAAGCCTAGCCCATTTAGACTGAAACTTGGCTCGGCTCTGCTCATTTACACCTCTACCTAACACTCCCTCTGGCAAAATAGAGTAGTCGAGAGAAATGATCGTTACTTTCTCGAGGTTGCTTATGCCCTTATGTTCACCATGCATATAGCTAAATACTTACAGGGGGAAGCTGTCCGTATTGCCTCGTACCTTATCAATAAAATGCCTTTTCGAGTCCTACAATTGCACTCTCCAATATCTTGCCTTGTCCACACTTTTCCCTTCTTCTGAGCCATCTTTTCTTTACCTCCCAAGTTGTTTGGTTGTGTCATCTGTGTCCATATTCGCACTCACCAAAGGTCCAAACTTAGTTAAATGTAAAAGAATATGTTGTATATTGATCTGTGTCAGAGAGTTACAATATATAGAGACCCCAATGGGCTTAAGTGAAAGGCCCAAACCTAATCCTAATACAGCCCAAACCTAATCCTAATACAGTCAGAATATTTACGGATAAGACGGAATCTAATCATATCTAATCATATCATATCTAATATTCTAACACTCCCCCTCAAGCTGGTGCGTATATATTATGAGCACCAAGCTTGTTACAAATGTATTCAACCCGAGGACCTCTAAGAGCTTTAGTGAAAACATCTGCTAGTTGATTAGACGAGTTGACAAAAGCTGTCTTGATTTCTCCTGACTGAATCTTTTTCCGAATGAAGTGACAATCAATCTCTATATGTTTGGTTCTCTCATGAAAAACAGGATTAGAGGATATATGTAGCGCAGCTTGATTATCACAGATGAGTGTCATGGGTTGTTTCTGTTCACAAAGATGAAGCTCCTGAATCAACTGCTTTAACCAGATCAACTCACAGGTAGTATTTGCCATTGCACGATACTCAGCTTCTGCACTAGATCGGGAAACAACAGGTTGTTTCTTGCTTTTCCATGAGATTAAGTTTCCTCCGAAGAAGACACAATAACCAGAAGTAGAGCGTCTGTCCGAGGGTGATCCTGCCCAATCGGCATCTGAGTAACCACAAATTTCTGTATTTCCCTGATCCGAATACAACAAACCTTTTCCTGGTGCTCCTTTGATGTATCAGAGGATCCTCACAGCAGCATCCCAATGTGAATCACAAGGGGAATCAAGGAACTGACTAGCCGTACTGACAGCGAAAGAAATATCTGGCCTAGTCACAGTAAGATAATTGAGCTTCCCAATCAGCCTTCGATAACGTCCAGGATCAGATAACGGCTCCCCTTGTCTGGGCAATAACTTAACATTAGGATCCATGGGTGTATCAACTGGTTTACACCCAACATACCAGTCTCTTCTAGGATATCCAAGGCATACTTCCTTTGACAGCTAGAAATGCCCTGTCTGGATTGCGCCACCTCAATTCCCAAGAAGTAATGCAGCTTCCCAAGGTCCTTTGTTTGAAATGTACTAAACAAATGTTGTTTTAACTGACAAATTCCGTCTTGATCACTTCCGGTGAGAATGATGTCGTCAACATAGACTAACAAATAGATACACTTATCAGGAGATGTAATCCTATAAAACACAGAATGGTCAACTTTACTGCGGATTAAGCCAAACGCCTGAACAGCAGAACTGAAGCGACTGAACCATGCTCGAGGAGACTGCTTGAGACCATATAAGGATTTTCGAAGACGACACACCTTTCCAGACTCCCCCTGAGCAACAAAACCAGGTGGTTGCTCCATGTAAACTTCTTCTTGTAAATCACCATGAAGAAAGGTATTTTTTATGTCAAGTTGAAAGAGTGGCCAGTGACGAACAACAGCAAGGGCAAGAAAGAGGCGGACTGACGCCATCTTAGCAACCGGAGAAAATGTATCGCTATAATCAAGGCCAAAGATTTGAGTAAAACCCTTGGCAACTAAACGTGCCTTGAGACAATCAATATGGCCATCAGGTCCAACTTTCACAGTAAAAACCCAGCGACAACCAACTATAGACTTCTCTGGAGGAGCAGAAACAAGGTCCCAAGTGCCATTGAAATGAAGTGCAGTCATCTCATCAAGCATTGCTTGGCGCCACCCTGGATGGGAAAGTGCTTCACCTGTGGTCTTAGGAATAAATATAGAAGAAAGACTAGAAACAAAGGTGAAATGAGGTGAAGAAAGACGGTCATAACTCAAAAAGGTATAAAGAGGATAAGGGTTACGAGTAGTACGTGTACCTTTTCTTTGAGCAATGCGAAGAGTCTCTGATGAAGGATCCGGAGGGGAAGAAGCAACAGCAGTGGGCGATGAGTCAGCAAGAGTCGAGTCGACAGGAGGCACAGTTTTGCGACGCTGATAGGTGAGAAGTGGACGGTCCTCAGGTATAGAAGCAATAGGTTGCTCATCTGGAATAGAAGCACCTGCAGCTGGCAAAGACAAGTCAAGAAAAGGGACAGGAAGTACATGATCAACCTGTGACATCTGAGATGGGATAGAATTAAAAGGTTGTTGATCAAGAAAAGTGACATTAGCGGAAACTAAGTAACGCTTAAGGTCGGGAGAATAACAACGATAACCCTTTTGAAGACGAGAATAACTAAGAAAGATACACTGAAAGGCTTTGGATGTTAACTTATCCTTACCAGGAGTGAGATCATGAACAAAACAAGTACAACCAAAGACATGTGGAGTTAGAGGATAAAGAGGAACATCTGGAAGCAATAGATTATGAGGAATGTCATTGCGGAGCACAAATGAAGGCATGCGATTGATGAGAAAACAAGAGATGAGTACAGCATCTGCCCAGAAGTGAAGGGGAACCTGCATATGAATAAGAAGGGTACGGGCAGTTTCAATGAGATGTCTGTTTTTACGTTCAGCCACCCCATTTTGTTGTGGAGTGTGAGGACAAGTAGTTTGATGTAAAGTACCTTGTGTGGCCAAGAAATTAGAAAAATCAATAGAAACATATTCCTTAGCATTATCACTACGTAGAATACGAATAGAAACACCAAATTGAGTATGGATCTCAGTAGAAAACTTTTTATAAATGGAAAATAACTCAGAACGATTTTTCATGAAATAGGTCCAAGTGCAACGGGAAAAATCATCAATAAAGGTAACGAAATACCGAAAACCTAAGACAGACAAGGTACGACTTGGACCCCAGATATCTGAATGAACAAGAGAGAAAGGGGCATCAGCTCGTTTATTGACTCGACTGGCAAAAGAGGAGCGTGTATGCTTCCCTTGTTGACATGACACACAATCTAAAGACTGAAGACCGGACAAAAGAGGAACCATTTTCTGCAACTTTGAAAGACTTGGATGACCAAGGCGACTGTGGATAAGTTGTGGAGATTCTGTGAGAGAGCATGCTACTGAAGGACGAGGCACATCTAGATAATAAAGCCCCTGTGACTCACGACCCACTCCAATCATTTTTCCCGTACCCGGATCCTGCACAGAAACAAAATGGTTAGAGAAAGTAATGGTGCAAGTGAGGGAGTGGATCAACTTACTAATAGAAATTAAGTTATAAGGGATGCCAGGAAGTAATAGACAGATGTCAGGGCCAAGGTAGAGGTCGGACGAGCTTGTCCAATCCCACGAACTAGGGCTTTGGTTCCATCCGCAAGGGTAAAAGACGGTAAATGATGATGTAAAGAGTTCCTTATTACCACAGAGATGATCGGTAACACCGGAGTCAAATATCCAAGTGCCAAGTGATGTAGAATGAGAAACACAAGCAACGGGATTACCAGTATAAGGCTGAGACTGAGGAGAACCCTTCCTGAGAAGGGTTTGGAGTGCAGCATAGTCCGAACCTGAACCAAATGATGCATTGTCTGACTGAGCTATATTTGCAACAATAGAAGGAGAGTTAACCTCCGAGAGATCAGGAGATGCTGCTGCCATTTAAAGATAAAATATAAAAGCCGTAAACGAAGGCAAACGATATCCAATCAAGGAGAACCACGCGTCTAAAGTCAGACCCACAGAGAAACAATCACAGATCCAGAAAGGGGAGGAGAAGGCGAGCTTCTTTGTCCAAGACCGGCCGGAAAAAGCCGCCGGCGTAGTACACACTCCCCGGTAGAAGGTGGCGCGTGAGGCCCACGCGCAGAGGAGGTGGGCGGCGCGTGAGGGATGCGTTGGTGACCGGACCTCCACAGACTTGATCGCCGGGAGGAGACGGTCTTGATCGCGTGAGAAGTTGTCTCTAGGCTTTCATGCGTTCAATACTGCGTTAGACAATACAAAAACACCAAGAAACATCTAGGAAGCCCGTAATGATCCATGGTGGAAGAATGTTGTCCTTGAAGAGATGGATGCCTTGGAAAGGAATGAAACTTGAAAACAATGGAATTACCAAGAGGAAAAAAGCCGGTAGGATGCAAGTGGGTGTTCACTATCAAATTCAATTAAGTTACTAGCATAAACAAATACAAGGCCAGATGGGTTGCAAAATGATTCACCTAGACACATGAAATAATCTATCAAGAGACTTTTGCTCCAATTGCCAAGGTCAACACCATTCGAGTCCTCTTATCTTCTAACTTGCGTTGGCCTCTACAACAGTTAGATGTGAAGAATACATTCTTGAGTGGTGACCTACATGAGGAAGTCTATATAGATCCTTCAAATGGCTTTGGAAAGGGTGATGAACTGGTGTGTAAGTTAGAAAAAAGTGTCTCTACGGGCTTAAACATTAGAAAATGGTTCGATAAATTCACTTAGGCAGTCGAGAGAGAAGAATTTCTTCAAGTACAAATTGATCATACACTTTTCCATAAACACTCTAAGGACGGTAAAATTGTTTTTCTTATTTTCTTATGTGGACGACATAATCATTATAGGTGGCGGGAGTGGTCAACAGCCAAAGATTGCTGGAAAACGCAGCACGTGCAGGCAAAAGGTGGCGCATGGCGGTCACACGTAGAGGAAGAATGAGCGTGTGAAACCTCCATTCAAAGTGGGCCTTGCAATGTTGGATAGATTGGCTCTTTCTGATTTTATTGAGGAAGGTTTCGGTCGAAACAGCAGCTGGAAAATTTTTCCAACAGTGGTTGATGGCAACTAGCTGATGTGGCGGCAGCTGTAACAGGACCAGAGTAGGTGCAATTGAAGCATGGCTACTAAAAACAAACTAAAGGCAAATAGTGATCTCGACGGGAGGTGGCAATTGTGATTGGATGTAGTTGACTAAACTGGAAGCACGCTTAGGGTTTAACAGAAGCAGAGGCTCCAAGATCGGAGCTTTGATGCCAATTTGAAATGTGAAAATTGAAATATTATTCATTTAAGAATGGGCCCAAAGGAATAGACCCAAATCTAAAACATATTTTGTCTAAATCATAAACATAATCTAATTAGTAAAGGAAACAAATAATTATAGATATTTTCCATATTTATAATAGGGAATATTGATCTAATACAAATAGAAAAATGTAACTTGTGTGGGTGGTGATGGGTACATTTGGATTTAGTTTCAGCTTTTATCTATGGGCTATCGGAGAAAATCCTTGGCTTGGAGTAAGTATTGCTCTTACATTTTTTGTTATTATGTCTTGATTTCATCATAAAAAAAATATCCCTTTTATTGATAGGAACTGTTTTCTATCAATGTTAAAAGTTTAATCCTCCAGAGGCCACCTATCCTCCTCCCTAACTTAGGTCCCTTCACCACCAAATACCAAAAATAAATAAATAAATAAAAAATCTAATTGGTATTATAGAGGATTTAAAAATAAAGAGCACACTCAGTGCACAAGGCTTCCCGACTTTTCGAGGATCGGGGTGAAGGTCGATCGTATGCAAATTTACTTTTGCATATTTATGGAGGATTTATTTTTGGTACTTCTTAAATGTGAATTTGATTATTTGGACAATGCACAGGCCCACCTACTCATGCTAAGAAATTCCACAAAAGAAAGTGGGGGGCGGTAGGGATCGAACTCGTGACAACAAGGCTCTGATACCATGTAAAGAACCAGCTTTTGGGTGAGGTTGCATAAATGTTTTTAATATTTCTCTAACACGCTCTTATTTAATGAATTCAGTATTATGGAGTTGAAAAGGCACCAGAATAGTACTGTTCCGATGAAAAACAATTGCAGTTTGGGCTTTTTGGGGCTATTTGGGTTGTTTTGTGACTGGGAAACGTCCGTGGATGGATAGATCTGGAAAAACGGAGTCAAACAGTGGTCCTCTTGGTTCAAAAGGGAAATTTTTTTTTCAGTTGAGAGCTAGAGGCAAACAAATAGGGTCCGCTCTAAAGGCGAGAGTTGCGGAAGAAGAGCCCTCAGGATCGAGAGCTCTGATATTAACTTGAAAAGAAATAACTTGAAAAGTAGGATTGTATTATGTGAAATTTTGTATTACAACAATACAAAAGCTCTCCATGTAAAGAGACTAAATGACCTAATAGGCTAAACCCAAAGAAGATTCTATAATACAACTCTCTATTTAAAATAAAATAATATTATTATTTACAACACTATTAAATCTATTACCATGCCTTTTGTGTTCAAAATGCATTGATTTGTTTACCTGCTTCAATTAGTACAAGATATACTTTATTGTCCTGAAGATTTATTTTTGGAATTTAGACATGTTACTGACTATGTAATCATGAAAGCAGGTGGTAGACCCTGTTTTTGCTACATATCATTTGCAATCTAGGCTAAGAAGTAAAACACATTCCTTGAATAACACGGCTACTGCATCCGATGATGTAATGCAAATTCCTTGTAAAAAGCAAAAGATGTTGTCATCATCCTCTTCATCCAGCCCTGCGCAAACTAGTGATGTTGATCCCCAATGCAGTGGGAAGGTATCATTTATATCAAGTATTTGATTTGATGTCTTTCTTTTTAATTTTTCTTAAAAAATAATAAAATTTTAGTTGGATGAAATACTTATGCTACTATAGATGGGGATTCCTCCTCTTTGTCTCCTTTGTACTTTTTCAAAAACATTAATGTTTTGTTTTTACTATAGAAAATGGGGAAAAAATGACAAATTTTCATTGCAAATTGATCGCTAAGATCTACCATATAGCTTACACTTTTTTTTTTAGTACAAATGAGGGGCAAGAGCCTAAAAAGGAAAGAGACTAAAAAAAAGATTACAAGAGTCTAGGTCCAAAAAGGGAGCTAAACTGGGGGGAGGGGGCAATTAAGGACAACCCAATCATTATCAGTGCTAAAACTGAATGTTTCATTGATATATACAAATGGAATGAGATTTTACAATATATAACAAAGGCAAGAAGGTAAATATGGGAAACAACAAAAGCTACATGGGCTAAGGCTCATTACACCAAGTTACAAGAAATTCCCAAACTCCCCCCTCAAGTTGGGAGATAAATATTGATCTTTCCAACTTGACTATTAAGTTATCAAAAACTGATCCGTGTAGACTCTTAGCAAGAATGTCTGCAGTTTGCTCTTTGGTAGGGATATATGACATACACACACTTCCATCATCCAATTTCTCCTTGATGAAGTGACGATCAACCTCCATATGCTTTGTTCAATCATGATGAACAAGATTTTGAACAATACTGACTGCTGCCTTGTTATCACAATACAACCTTATAGTAAAGAATAAGAAATCTTCAATTCACCTAGTAGTCTTCTTAACCAGGCTTTCTCACAAATTCAATGAGCTAGTACTCGGAATTCTGCCTCAGCACTACTTTGTGCAACCACTGTTTGCTTCTTACTTCTCCAAGTTACTAAGTTTCCCCACACATAGGTGCAATAGCCTGAGGTTGACTTTCTGTCTACCGATGAACCTTCCCAATCCGCCTCAGTGTAGACTTCAATCATCCTATTATACCTTTTTTTGAAGAACAATCCCCTTCCTGATGTACTCTTGAGATACCTTAGGATTCTATAAACTGCACCAAGATGTTTCTCTTTGGGTGAATGCATAAATTGGCTAACCATACTTACTGCAAAAGCAATGTTAGGTCGAGTATGGGACAATTAGATCAATCTTCCAACCAATCTTTCATATTGCTCATTGTCCACCTCTTTCCCATCTTCAATATCCAACTATGTTGGGTTCCATAGGTGTTTCGGCTAGCATACCTTTCTCCTAAAGCAAATCTAAGATGTACTTTTGAGAGATTGTGATCCCTGTCTTGCTCCTGGCTACTTCCATGAGGAAATACCTTAGGACTCCAAGATCTTTCAGTTCAAACTGACCTGTTAGATACTCTTTTAAGGAATCTAACTCCTTATGGTCATCACCATTAATAATTATGTCATCCACATAGACTATAAGAATGGCAACTTTACCATCCTTAGTGTTTGTGGAACAATGTATGATCAGTTTGGGCCTGTAAAAAATCCTTCCTCTTGACCGCTTGAGTGAATTTATCGAACCATTCTCTAGGAGATTGTTTGAGTCTGTAGAGAGACTTCTTTAACTTACACACCAAGTCAGCTCCTTTTCGGAAACCAGGTGGAGGATCCATATAGACTTCTTCATATAGGTCACCATTCAAAAAAGCATTCTTCACATCCAACTGTTGTTAAGGCCAGTCAAGATTAGCAGCCAAGAATAGAAGAACTCTAATAGTGTTGAGTTTGGCAACTGGAGCAAATGTTTCTTGATAATCTATCCCATACAACTGAGTATACCCTTTCGCAACTAGTCTGGCCTTATATTTATTGATGCTGCCATTTGCATTGAATTTGATGGTGTACACCCACTGGTTGCTTTCCTCTTGGTAATTCCACAATATCCCATGTGTTATTTCTTTCAAAAGCATCTATTTCTTCAATGACAGCCAACTTCCAATTTGGATCATCAAGGGCTTTTTGGATATTTTTGGGAATCTTCATACTATCCAAAACTGTGTTGAAGGCACGAAAACATGGTGATAATGTGTCATAGGAGACATATTGAGAGATGGGATGTGAAGTACAACTGTACAAGACCTGGTTCCTTTCTTGAGAGCAATTGACAAATGTAAATTCTCATAGGCATGTTAGGTTGGATCCAGATTGCTGGAACTAGAAGCCAAAGTGGAATCCTGGCAGTGCAAAGAGTCTAGATTATTTACATTTTGAGGAGGCTGTCTCCGACAATAAACCAACAATTGTTTCTGCTGATTATTGTCTCCACCTTTTTCCAACTGCTCATCTTCCTCTGTTTCCAATTGTGGTGAGTTTTGTGATGAAGGGATGGATAAGGGAAGAGGGTTCCCATGACTGGTCTTCATCTAGAAGCTCCCCTTGAAAAGAAGGCTGAGAAAAGAAAGATTAACTCTCAAAGAAAGTGACATTCATGCAGACAAAAACCTTTCGGAGAGATGGGGAATAACATTTATATCCCTTTTTAGTAGGAGAGCATCCAATGAAGACACTTGTGAGATTTAGGATCAAGTTTGGATTGTTGATGTGATGGAACATGGACAATCACAACACTCTCGAACTATTTTGGAGGAAGTGAAGACATAGAACTAAGACAGGGATAGTTCTTTAAAAGACATGATAGCGAAGAAAGAAACTGAAGGACACAAGAAGGCATTCGGTTGATAAGGTAGGTGGCAGTTAAAACGGCTTCCCCCTACAAATATTTAGGGACATTCATGGTGAACATAAGAGCACGAGCAACTTCAAGAAGGTGCCTATTCTTTCTCTCTGATACCCATTGTCTGAAGAATTTTTATGGAGGCGCCAAATTAGTTTTGAACCATGGCATGAAATTTTTTGAAAACTTGTACAGTATCAGACTTTTCTTTGAGAAGATAGACCCAACACACTTGAGAATGGTTATCAATGAATCTTACACACCATCGCGAGCCAGAAATATTCTTTACACGAGATGGACCCCATATATCAATGTGAACAAGAGTAAATGGGGAGGGTTCTTTATATTTCCTAATGAGATATGATACATGAGAGTGTTTTGCTAACTGACAAATGTCACAAGAAAAGACACTAGGTTTTTTATGGGTAAAGAGATTTGGTAACAACTTTTGAAGGTAATTGAAATTTGGTTGCCCTAACTTACGATACCACAACTTTACATCATCACCACAATTGGAAACAAAGAAAGAATCATTTTCAGCAAAAGCAGCTTGATTCTCCTCATGATAGATCACTCAAAAATGTAGAGCCCTCCTTTTACTTTAGCACTGCCAGGGGCCTGCAGGGCAACACATGGCTTTCACAGGCCGAAAGTTGGCCCCGTGTGAGGCTGACATGCCGAGCTTTCTCCAGCGCATGGTTGGGCAGTTTCATGTGGGCCTTCTTGGAACTTGTAGATCGGCCTTTTCTAATTCTAATGGTACCTGTTTTGGCAGGAAAAGTCGTTGGAAAAATTTTCGATGGCTGCTAACGGTGGTGGAAGGCTGAGATTTGATCGGTTTTGGCCTTCTACAGTGGCTGGTGGCCTACTTTGCCATTGTGGCTTTGTACGAAGGAAAAATAGCCTTGACAATGCTGTTTTCCAGTTTTCTGGATAGTTTTTTGACCATGTGTCGTCGGTTTTTGTTTTGATGGTGGCTGGGCTTTCTCAAGACCTCTTAGCTCTTGATACCACGTTAGAACTGAATGTTTCATTCATATATTCAAATGGAATGAGATTTTACAATATATAACAAAGGTAAGAAGGTAAAAAAAGGAAACAACAAAAGCTACATGGGCTAAGGCCCATTACACTAGGTTACAAAAAATTCTTACATCAACGTTGATTTTCCACCACCCCCTTGGAGGAGGAGTCCAAGGAACAGGAAGCCTAATCCTGGAATTAGAACGAACACGAACTTGGTCTCTCATAGCTAACCCGATGTCGGCACATAGCTCACTATTAGAGAGATTAGAAATGGGTTATCTCTCACTAACCAAATAGGGCGAGTTGGGCCCAGTAATACAGCCCAAAGAGGGCTAAATCAACACTCATAATTTTCTTGTTTACAAAGTTGCTGAAGCGCTACAGCTGCCCAAGGAAACTAGGAAGAACGTCTTTGTTGAAGTAGGAGATGGCTATCAGTCTACAAGCCCAGGGGTGTGCAAGGGGGTTATTTTGGAGTTGCATCTTTTGTCTGTGGTACAAGATCTTTACGTGATCTTCGGTCATGAATGGCTACAGAGGTTGGGTGAGATTCATGGAAAGAAAATTGAATTGAAGCTTCCAATGTGGTCTAGGTGCTTTAAGCAATGGGATCCCGGTGGCAGTTCTATCTCATCACTTATCCTTTTTCTTCACCTTGAGGAAAAGGTGAGTTCTGGAGGGGGACTGTATTTTCCTTATTTTGTTAGTTATAAGATGGTAACATAAATAGAGAATTAGGGGAAGAAAACTATACTGCATTGGCTGTAAACTAATCTTGGTCTAAAAGAAGGTGAGGCATAAGAGAAAATGGGTTTTGCAATCTTATCTATGCTCAAATTGACTTTGAGGGAATGACAGCCCAAACCTTAACCAAGGACGAAACCAGAATGGCAGTCCAGAAAGAGGAAAAAGAAGAAGAGATTTGACAAAAAAGATAAATGAAAATTTCTGCACAAAGGAGTTTAATGATTTCATTCTCGGGAAAATTTTAAATTGTTTACCACCTATTTGAGGAATTGAACTCCAAACCAAACAACCAACCAAACTAATCCCAACGAGACAAATGAACTACAAAGGCGTTTTAAACTACTTCTGATAGAGATGGTGAGAATTTGAGGGCAAAATCTTTTCAAGAAACATCCTGTAAGGAGAGATAATCACTTATTTCGTTAATTCAAATAATCAACTGGCGAATGTCTTCACAAAGTCTTTGTGAGGTTTTTATATAGATTACATATGTATCAAGCTTGGCGCATATAATTTATATGCACTAGCTTGAGGTTGCGGGACGAAGTTCCACATTGTGTATTTTTTCCTTTGTAATTCTTTATATTCAGTTATATAATAGAGCCTCCCCTATGTAATTAAGACATGAATTTCAACACATTCCTCTTGAGTTCTGATTATTTACGTGTCTCCACCTAGCAGCTTATGCTTTAAATGGATGATTAATTCTTCATAGGGAAAAAAGAAATGAGAAAAGCCATAGCCTTGCAAAGCCTTGTAAAGAATCTTTTTTCTCTTTACCTAGCATTGGCAAATAGCAAATGGCATATTCTGGAGGTTGAATAGAATGTTAGATAAACATCTTGTCATGTTAAATCACCTGAGTTATCCCAAGTACCGTCCAAATCAATCTATTTACTCTTAAAATGGACTGAATCAGGACTTGCATGCATATCAGTAGGAAACTTGTATAACTTAGGGTTTTCCCCACTTTAGTTGATTTAGATGGAATATATGAACTTCAGATTTTTTTATTACATCAGTTATACCGATATTTTTATTGAAGAGGTTAAAACTGTTTCTCCTAAAATTTGAGACAAACATGGGTGGTGTAAAAAGAAGTGGAAAGATTATAACTTCAGAAAATCACATGAGGAAGAAGAAAGTAAAAATATGGGCAGAAGACACTTAGATGTCTGGTTGTATTTCTAATGCATGTAGTGTTACTACATTCGCAAAAATGTGCTTAAAAATTACAACAAACTGATTTTCATACTTCATCCCTTCTTCATAATTTTTAGGTGAATGATGATCTTCGGTTTCTATTGGAGAATGATACTGTGGAGGTTGAGGAGATGGTGAACAAACATTCCGATGAACTATCTGGAACAGTAATTTTCAAAACTTCTGTGTGTTCAAAGCCATGATCATCTTCTGTAATATCTTGCATGTTTGTATCGAAATCATGGATAGTAATTGGTTTGTGATTCTTGTCCTTAGGAATCAGTGAGATTGAAGCATTTGTTTTATATGATATATATGCAATGATATATATACTAATTGGTGTTTAATATTGGCTTTTAGCTAGGATACATGGAACGACAGCTGGAGTTGCTTCTTGATGCTGTAATGTCGAAGTACAGGTATGTTGTGATACATTTGAGTGAATATGGGAATAGAGATTGATTATGGCATGCTTATGGTTCTGCCTAGCTTGTTATATTGGTTGGAATCCATTGATACTAGTGTTGTAATAATAAGTTTTATACCATTAATGAACTTTTTATGGCATATTTCTTCCTCAAAAATCCACTGTTGGTTTGAAATCTCCGATTATGTAGATCATGCTCATAAAGCCTTGTATTATCCCAAACGCAATATTTACCAGGATTCAAAATTTCGGATGAATGGTCAACTTATGGTGCTCCAGAGCTGGACATGTTGTTTTCTAAGGGGACTGGCCTGTGCATGCTTTCCATTGGTCTCTCCCACTGAATATTCAAGCCTTTAAGGATACTCTTTAACCAAAGTAGTTCTCAAACACCTTGAGTCATTACTCTAAATTCTGCCACAGCACTGGGTTATGCCATCACGTTATTTTTTTAGCTTCTTCAAATTACCAGATTTACCCCAAGGAAGGCACAGTACCCCCGTAGTTGATCTTCTATCACTTCGTGACCTGACATAGTTTGCATCAGTATATGCCCTTAGTACGACTCCATTTCTTTTAAATAAAATGCCTTATTGACTAGTTCACATACTGCATAAGCTATGTCTGGCCTTAAGTGGGATAGATAAATAAGTCTCCCCATAAGTCATTGATACCTTGCCCTGTCTATTGCAGCGTCTTCCTGTGCTGGTCCAAGCCTCAAGTTTGGATCAATGGAGGCACTAGCTGGTTTGCATGTTGCTTTCCTGTCTAGAATGAGCTACTTCAATTCCCAAATAATTGTTTAACCTCCCTATTGCTTTGATTTCAAATTCCTTAGCTAAACATTGGCTCGAAACTTGTTTTTCCTTAAAAGATTCACGCAGAAAGTTGAAGACAAAGAGGTAACTAGAGAGAGAGAATTAAATTTGATCTGAATATTTCAGATACTATTGAACAGAGTTCTGTATCACAAAGAGCTCAATTTATAGAGTTACAGAATGTTTGCAGAGCAAGCTAACAGATCTAGAAAGCTGTTATGAACTATTACAATTGTCGACTGACTTACCAGCTCAATATAACAAACTCTCATCATCTTTGGAGTAACTAATGTTACCCTGAGTACAACAATACTATATGGCTGCACTAACGCACTAACTAATACACTAATAGTCTAATACAAAGGCTACATTCTGCTGCAAATATAGTAGCTGAACAAAACTAATACAATAAGAGATTACTGAATAATAATTGTCGTTATAACACATCCTCCACAAACTTAAGGACGATGGAGCAGCTGAAGATGATCCAACACCTTGAGTTTGTCAGAAAACTCACAAAACCGGAGTTGGTACATGCTGAACTAGCGAAGACTCTTATACTTTGCCTCTGTGCTAGATCTGGCCACCAAAGTTTGCTCCTTGGACCACCAAGAGTTCATGTAAAGGAAAAGAAGGGAAAAATAAGGAGAGGGGGGAGATGAAGAGGAAAATAACTAAACAGGGACCATCTGGAACATAGGAATAACAACGAGTCTAACACTCCACCATTCTTATAGCTTTTCTCCATTCCGTCCTAAAACACATCGTCCGCCAATCAATATCACACATTGTCCTCCAAGTAAGTTTCGGTCTATCTCTATATCTCTTTGTGTCGAGCTCTTGGTAACAAATTTTTGTTCTTATGGGAGCATTCAGGGGCCTTTTCATTAAGTGCCCAAACCACCTGAATCTATGTTCTCTTATTTTTTCAGCCATCGGTACTACTCCCACCTTTCATCGAATATCTTCATTTCTTATCTTATCTATCCTCGTATAACCACACATCCACCTTAACATTCTCATTTATGCTACTCTCATTTTATGCTCACGTTGCGTATGTGTTGGCCAACATTCAGCTCCATATGCAGGTCCGACTGCTGTTCTATAAAATTTTCCTTTTAGCTTAACGTGAATTCTTTAAACTCCAACGTGCTTCTCCACAATTCAAGATTTTTATTAACACCGTCTTTGGTCTTATCAATAAGCACACTATCATCAACAAAAAGCTTATACCATGGCACTTCCTCTTGAATATCTTTTGTTAGTTCATCCATAACTAAGGTAAAAATATAAGGATTTAGAGTAGAACCTTGGTGTACACCTACTATGATAAGAAAATAACTTGATGTTCTATTACAAGCTTTCGCACATGAAGTAGCCCCATCATACATATCCTTGATTGCATCTACATACTTCGATGGTACTTTTTTCTTCTCAAGAACCCATCATAAAACTTTTCTTAGGACCCTATCGTATGCTCTCTCAAGATCTATGAATACCATATGTAAGTCCTTCTTTTCTCGATATCTTTCCATTAATTGTCGCATTAAGAAAATAGCTTTCATGGTACATCGTCCTGGCATAAATCCAAATTGATTTATAGAAACCTTGGTCTTTCTCTTCAAGCGATGTTCAATATCTCTCTCCCACAACTTCATAGTATGGCTCATTAGCTTAATGCCTCTATAGTTAGAATAATTCTGAATATCTCCCTTGTTTTTGTAAATAGGCACAAGCATACTTTTCTTCTATGCATTAGGCATCTTATTTGTCTGAAGAATCTTATTGAAAAGATTGGTCAACCATTTTATTGCCACATCCCTTAGGCCTCTCCTCACTTCAATAAGGGCACCATCGCGTAGGCTTTATTAGTCTTCATCCTCTTTAAAGCCTCCTTAACTTTATGAGTATTGATTCTGTGCACAAATCTTCTATTTAATTATCATAAGCGTCCTCCAAGTCCACCTCGCTTTTATCGCCATCCCATGTTAAAGTAGTTCATCCATCTTTCATTTACATCTTTATCTCACTAATTTTTTTTATTTTCATCCTTGATGTATCTAACTTGGGTGAGGTCTTTCCTTTTTTTATCCCTTATTTTTGCAAGTTTATATATATCTTTTTCACCATCTTTGCTCCCAAGATTTTTATAAAAATCGGCGAACACATTGCCTCTAACTTTTCGCATTGCTTTCTTTGCATTTTTTCTCGCCAATCTAAACTTTTGAAATTTCCATTATTGGGACTTTTATGCAAAGATCTAAAGCATTCATTTTTCTGTTTAATTGCCTATTGCACCTCTCTATTCCACCACAATATTTCCTTTTTGTGAAATCCATTTCCTTTGCTTTATCCCAACACCCTCCTTCCCACATTTTGGATATATATAGCCATCTGATTCCATATTTTATTGCTCCTCCATCAACCTCTCATGGTCCTTCACGCAACATTCTTTCCTTGAATTCTATCTGTTTTTCCTCCTTTAGCTTCCATCATTTTATCCTTGGGTTCTGAGCCATTTTCCTCATTTTAAGTATTTTGGTGAACCGAACCTCTACGACAACCAGCTTATGTTGCGTAGCGACACACTCTCCAGGATAGACTTTATAGTCGACACAAGAAGTTCTATCTTCTCTTCTACTCATAAAGAAATCAATCTGACTATGATTTTGGCCACTATGATATGTGATTAGATGTGACTCCCTTTTTCGAAAAACTGTGTTCGCTGGCATAATCGTAGGCTAGTGCAACGTTCAAGATATCTTCTCCAATCTCATTTCTCATCCCATAGCCAAAACCTCCATAGATTCCTGTAAAGAAACAGTTCAACCCAAGCTTAAGCTTTTGGATGAGGTTACATTAATGATTTTATATATCTCTAACACGCCCCCATACATTTGAAGGGTGAACAATGTACAGGTCCACCTACCTGTACTAAGAAACTCCACAAGACTTAATTAATTAATTATTAAATAGGGGGCGGTGATGATCGAACTTGTAATACTGAGGCTCTGATACTATGTAAAGAATCAATTCAACCCGATGGGTGATTGATCAATATGACTATTTAGGTCTTTTCCTAAGAAAATCTTCTCCTCTCGTGATATTCCCATCAAAACCTCTTCCAAATCTTCCCAAAATTTTATCTTTATCGTTTGATTGCAATCTATAAAGAACCAATTCAACCCAAAAACATAAGTTGGTAAGTGAGGCTATATTAATGGTTTTTATATATCTCTAACACACCCTCTCACATGAGAGCCCGCTGGGCTTGAAGGGTGGGCAATGCACAGGCCCACCTACCCGTGCTAAAAAATTCCACAAGAGAAAATAGGGGGCGGTGAGGTTCAAACCCGTGACAACGAGGTTTTGATACCATGTAAAGAATCAATTCAACCAAAAAATTTAAGTTGTTAAGTGAATGCCTCTTTAATGGTTTATATATCTCTAACACAATCCAACTTGGGACCCCTATTTATAATGGGGTACCTGTTGGGCCTCCATTTAGTTTGTTGTGAGGTTGTTATTATGTCTTATCCTTTTGTTAGGATTTTGACTTGAGTTCTTCTATCCATCACTGCTAGTGAGCTTATCCATTTGTTGGGTTGTTAGGATATGGACCCAATATCCTGGTCTATATCAGGGTGCATACACATTGAGGATATTCAAAATTAAGTCACATACTACAAGCTTAACCAGAATAATCCTGTCGCCTTTCTTTTTCACGCCAACAACTTTATTTCTAAAACTTTTATCGATCATAATTCCAACACTATTTTGATTTTTGTTTATACCTGTGTACTACAACTTGAAACCTGTACCATCCACTTCCTTGACTTTTTCTCCAACCCACTTAGTTTTTTGCAAGCACAATATTCACTTTCCTTCTAGCAAAAACATCGGCTAATTCACTTAATTTACCCGTTAAAGTTCCTATGTTCCAACTTCCCAATCGCATCCTTAACCACTAGGCTGTACTTACCCGCCACGCTCGCCCATCTGCGTGTTAAGACCTTGACCTACTTGTCACCAAATCCGGGTGAAGACTTGGCGCCTTGCCTCTAGTCAACATATGACCTAATTTTAATGATTTCATCACTAACCTGGTAGTCCCCTTGATGTCGCTGTTTCCCAAAGCGGCCACCTTTTCCAACAACGTCTTCGTCGTAGAGGTTATGTGATAGAGCGGAAGGTATCTCTCAACCACTGTACAAGCGTCTTGAACTGATGGTTCAAGTAGTGGAGGATCCGCCGCCTCTTCCTTCTTCGTCTTTTTCTTCCTTATTCTCTATTTCATCTTCTTTTTCTGCAACCGATGCATCTTCTTCGTTGCTGATTTCTTCCTCTTCTTTTTTGCTGATTTCTTCTTCTTCGTTTCCTCCTTCTTCTTCTTTGTATTCTTCCGCTCTTGCCTCTTCTTTCTTTGGTTCTTCTTCATCTTCTTTTTCTTTGTTCGATTCTGCTTCTTCTTCACCTTCCTCATCGTCTTCTTCTTTCTCCTTTACTGCTTATGCATTTTTTTCTTTGATTTTTTTGAAACTCTCAAACTTCATCTTCTCGTATTCAAACCTCTGTAACTCCATCTTCTCTATTGCCTCATCGAACGCTTTCACAATTTTTTTCAAATTTTCCTTAAGCTCTATATCATTGATTTCTTCCATTTTTGTTTTTGTTTTTTTTTTCTTTTATAGATCTAGAATAGAAAGCACTCCCCTAGGTCGGAAGTTCTCTGATACCAAATTGATGGAACCAGAAAATTATAACACTGATATTGATTAAACAGTAATTAAATGACAATATGACAGAGATGCAAAGATAAGAGTGATACAAAAAACATCATAAAATATACAGAGATGCAAAGAACAAGAGGAAAAACTCCACTCTAAGACAACATCCCTAGCCTTGAGAGCTTCCCTATTTCCTCTCCCAATTCCCCATCCTACTCCGTAAATTACAAATGATATTCAGCATAAAGAAATCTCACCCTAAATATCTATATATACTAATTCCTAACTAATGGGCTTGGATACTTTTATTAAAGGCCCATCAAACACAAATGAAGTAATCCAAACTGCCAAGCTTCCTAAGTGCAAAGGTGGAGTTGAGTATAGTGATAAGCTATTAAATCAATTGTGTAGCAATACTAGTAATAATAATATCATCAACTTAAACTAAGACATAAATGCAGTGGTCACCAACATGAAAGAACAAAAAGGGAAGTGTTACACTTGTTGGATTTGAATCGACTATGTGGAAGAGTTTGACCAAATTTATCAAATATGTTTTAGGGCTTGTTTGAGCCCATACAAAACTTTGTGAAGCTTGGAAACTAAGTGTTTGTCGAGGGATTCAAATTGAGAAGGTTGAGACATCTTCATGAAGCACCTCATTTAAAAACGCACTATAAACATTCAATTGCTGCGAAGGCCACTGATAAGTGAATACCAAAGTGAGAGTAGTTCGGATTGTAATGGGTTTTATCACTGGAGAAAAAGGTTTCATTGTAATTTAAACATAGTTGTTGATTGAATTCCTTGGCAACCAACCTAGCCTTGTAGTTATTAATTGTAAAGAACAAATTCAACTCAAAAGCTTAAGTTGTTGGGTGAAGCTACATTAATGATTTTATATTTCTTTAACACACCCCCTCATACGAAAGCCCATTGGACTTGAAAGGTGGTGATGTATCAGGTCCAACCTACCTGTATTAAGAAACTTCGCAATATTTAATTATTTTTATTAGTAGAATGGGATGGTGAGGATCGAACTCATGACCACTTAGCAATGTCAGCTCTGATGCTATGTAAAGAACTAATTCAATTGAAAAACTTAAGTTGTTAGGTTAGGTTACATTAATGGTTTTATATTTCTTAGGAGCTATTAGGATTTTCCTTAATTTGAAATACTCATTTGCTGCCAATGACTTGCCTAGAGGATGGCAAGGGAACAAGGGACCAAGTCCCATTAGCTTGCAAGGCTGCAAACTCATCTTGCATTTCCTTGAAACATTTTGACTGAGGTTGGCTCCACATGAGAAAGAAGGGCAGAAGGGGCAAAGGATTTTGACCCGGTGGTTATGGAATGCGAAAGAGAGGGCTAAGAGAGGATGAAGAAAGATATTTAGAAGAGGAAGAAGGACTAGAGGAAAAGGATAAGAGAGAAGGGGTAGAGACAGCATGCTGGACATGGTCAACTATCCAATCATGTGAAGTCCACATACCGCCTGCAAGGATATCACCCCTCTAAACCATTCCCTTATACTTAGTGACGTTTGGGGCCAAGCAATATTAACAAAATTAACGGAGCATGGTGGTAGGTGACCTTCATAAATGATCACACTAGGCTAACTTTGTTGTACCTATTACATGTAAAATCTGAGGTCCTTAAGGTTGTCAAAATTTTCCAAATGATGGTGAAAACTCAATTCCAAACTCAAAAACAGATCTTGCGATCTGATAATTCCCAAGATTATTTCAATTCTGAACTTATCTCCTGTGGGTGTAGTCAACATCCTGTCTTGGCAAGACCCATGTGGGGTCGGAGTCATATCGAACTACGGAGCTTGGGCTGATAGGACAAGTAGAAAGAGCTGTACCTTGATCAATAGTTATAGCATTTGGCCTAGTGGTAAAAGCTCGATCCAACACCTCTGACCTGCATAGAAATGGCATCCTCCATTAAAGCCCTTGTGTAAAATACCCCTCAAAATTATGGGATTGCTGAAAGAAAAAATAGATACCTTATAGAAGTGGCCAAATCTCTCATCCTTACCACCAATGCACCTAAATGTTATTGGGGAAAAGCTATACTCACATCCACATACTTGATTAGTAGAATTCCCTCTATAAACTTCCTATCCCTATATCATAAACATTCAACCACCTACCCAAACTTTCATGTCGTGTCCACCTTTTCTTCTAAAGTCATTCAGCCACCTACCCAAACTTTCATGTTGTGTCCACCCTTTCTTCTAAAGTCTTCCGCTGTTCAGCATATGTTCACATTGACAGTGGTGGCAAATTAGATGCACATGCTACCAAGTGTATCTTCCTTGACTACTCTTCTGCCCAGAAGAGTTATAAATGTTACTCTCCCACCACCAAATACACCTATACCGCCATGAATGTCACCTTATTACCACCAAACACCCATTCAAGGGGAGAGAAACACACCAACCACTGTCGAATCAACCAAGGAATGGATGTTTTGGATTGAACCTGAACTAGAACTTGACATCATCCCATCTCCTGCACTTGCAACAAACACTAACAATGACCAAACCCGCCAAGAACCTGAACCTGAGATTCCAACCTGAACTGCTTCCACTACAGATAGAAATCAAGTTGTAGTCAAGAAGACAGCAGTGCATCAACCACATCCTTCCAGTGGAAATTCAAGGTCATGATGACAACATATGTCCTATTCAAGGAACAATCGAAGTGTTACTACATGTTTAGGTTCTTCAGAGGATACCACGATCCCTCGGTTATCCCTTGACTCCATGGGTTTCCAATTTGCAGGTTTCGCATGTAATTTTAATCACACATCCTTGGTATAGCCTATTTTGTGGTTATGCTCACACCATGGTTTTCCATTCCTCCTTGGCTTTTGTAGTATTGTATCTCCCTACAGTAAAGGCATTGCCTTCAGGATTCTGATATGTGTTCTGGAATCCAAGGGTTAATTATTGCCTGCTCTCCTCCCATTTTATCTGAGCAAACTCCTTATGGATTAGAGGTAATGGACGTGTGGCAATACTTTCACTCCTAGCTGCATCATAGATAGGGTTAAGTGCCAAGAGAAAATTATAAATTCTTTCCTTTTCCACAATGTTTTGTAGGTGTCAGCGTCAGCTTTGGTGGTCCATTTGTGATCTTCATAGAGATCAAGTTTTTGCCAATACTTTACCAGTGTGCTGTAGTATTGAGTGATGCTCTTATCCTCGTTTTAGGTCATTTTAGACACCATTTATCTATGTTGAGATATATAAAAACCATTAATGTAGCCTCACCCAATAGCTTAAGCTTTTGGGTTGAATTGGTTCTTTACATGGTATCAGAGCCTCGTGTCCCGGGTTCGGTCCTCGCCGCCTCCCACTTTCTTTCAAGTGGAATTTCTTTCTTCCCACAGATATGCGGGCCTGTGCATTGTCCACTCTTCAAGCCTAGTGGGCTCTCGTGTGAGGGGGTGTGTTGAGATATATAAAAACCATTAATGTAGCCTCACCCAATAGCTTAAGCTTTTGGGTTGAATTGGTTCTTTACAATCTAGAACAAGGCAGCAGTGTTGTCAATTTTTTAGTAGGATTCTTTCATGGCATTCTAGATTTCTTGTACAGTTGAGCACAACCTGTAGGTTTCTCCAATTTCAGTCATCTTGGAGTTCACGAGTCAGGACATGACCAGGTTGTTCTCAGCCTTCCAAATTTATATCATGGGTCTGACTTGTCTGGTTATTAGGCATCTCTAGTGAGATAATTTTCCTTTCTATGGCCACAAATGAACATCATAACGCTTTGGGATCACATTAGATAATTAGACCTTATCGAAACGATGTCCAGTGATCATGAGAGAGAGGGACTTTTGGCTGCCATGGTTGGAGTGATGGTCCCCCGATTGTTTGCGACAAGTGTTGGTTGGGAGGTGGTGGACAATGTTCCATCGGATTTACAAAACATAGGATGAATTTTGGTTTTGGACCTGGCACTCAGGAGAGAGCCCTGATATCATATAAAAAAAAGGAAGGCAAAGTTCTAATTTCACTTAATATGACATAAATAAGGAAATAACAATTACAACAGAAATCAATACAAAAGAGGTAAAAAGAATATGGACAAATAAGTGGCTATGCTTTATCCTTGCTCTCTCTCTCTCTTGTCGTTGTTGATTTGTCTATAGACGAGTCTCACGATATCATGTGACATGAGAATGAGAAGATTCATTCCTAGAGTTGTTGGCACCTTTGACTAATTACATATGGCAGTGTTGCTCTATCACCTTTTGTCTAGTTACATATGATAGGTTGACTCAATCACCAATAGATGATAGGATCACAGCTTTCTCACACTTACAAGAGTCTAAAATTCTGACATTTCTTTACAGGCCCATGACCCTTGGTGAGAAACAACTGCTACAGAGGTTAATTCAGAAGCTACCAGCAAGAAACCTTGACCGTGTGGTGGAGATAATTTGTCGAAGTAGGCCAGTAGAAGAACAAAGTTGTGACAACATATTTGTTGATTTGGAAAAAGAGGTAGTACTCTAATCGGGGATGATATACGAAGTTGATTAGCATTATTAATTGCGGAGTCTGATTAGGTCTATGGTATACGAACTTGATTAGAAGTATAAGATTCTTACGATATTGGCTTTCTGCAGGATAATTCTACACTCTGGAGACTGTATTACTATGTTGAAGCTGTTGAGAAAGCCAAAAGTCTTTCTTGTAATCAAGAGGCCTAGTTTTCTAAATGATTTTGAAAGTCTGAGCTGTAATTCTAGTTCATTAAAACTCATTAATAGATTTTTCTAATCTTTCTAACTATAGAGTGGGCCGATTTTCAAAGTGCTGACATGTATGGAGGCATTTGTTTCAAGGCATATGATTACATTTTCAGAAGAAACATAGGTTGTAACACCCAGATACTGGATTAGTTTGTTATCATTACATATGATATTAAAGCACAGTTACAATGAAGGTAATTGAATTTAGAATTACAGATAAACTTGTTCTTTTATTATAACCAATAATAATTTATGTGACCAATTAATTAAAACACTCTTAAATGTTAATCATACTCTATCCGGAAGTGTTTACATTTCATTTACAACACCTTAGATAATACCATGTGAGGTAATCAATTACCCACCAGATGGTAATCAATTACTGTGTTAAGTAATCGATTACTACCAAAGTAGTAATCCATTACCATGCCATAAAAAACACTTGGCAATAGTTCAACATTTCCCCTGTTCCAAGTTAATCGATTACTTTCATGGTGATAATTGATTACTGAAAGCTCATACAGAAACTGGAAATTGCCTTCCATGTTTTAGTTAATCGATTACTATGCTAGGGTAATCGATTACCCTACTGGAAAAAACCATTTTGGCAACATTTTGCTGCACTTTGAGATTAGGGAAACCTTCCCAAAGCCTTGTCTCACCTAATAGACTTTGTCATACATTTATCATGCATATATCTAACCAATTCAAGGCTTGTTACATGGATCCATCCATGAATCAATTCCCATACATACTCATGCATTTCGTATACATATATCTCAAAATGACAAAGTCCAAATGAATAACACATCATTACATCATTTGGTAAAATAAATACATAAGTGATATCAACTTATACATGTTCTCTAAACGTATACACATAGGTATATTCGAAATGGAATAGACCAGTGTTTAAAAACTCGGACCAGTCATCGAACCGTTCGAGGTACTGGGTCACTGGTTCAACCGGGTTGAACCGGATTTACTGTTCACATATTAAAAATATAAAAATATTACTTATATTAATAAAAATTCACATAAGAAAACTATCAATGAGCTTCAAAAAATAAATTGATTTTCAATGATAGCAAATATTATATACTTCTAAGCTTTTAGCTCTAGACCATATCCTAATATTGGATTAAAATTGCAATATAAGTTAAATGCACTTTTTGTGCTTGACATGATACGAATAAATTAAATCATGATAACAAATAGTATGCAACTATGCATGAAATATACATTAAGAAAAAAGTGTCACTGTTATCATGATAACAAATAGCATGCATGAAATATACACTAAAAAAAATATCCACCGTTGAGATGAGATCATGAGACCATCAGTGTTTATCACCACTTAACTTCATGAGATCATTATAAGATGCAGCTAAATTACATAAACGAACTGCACTAATCTAAAATACCTTATTATTTTTACCTTACTTTTAATCATATTCATCATAAAATATGAATATGATTTAATTCAAGAGTTTTTATCAACAAAAAAAATTTACCAAAAAAAAAAAAAAGAATAACCGGTCTAACTCGGGTCAACCGGGTCGCCGGGTTTCGGCTGGGTCAACCGGTCCGATCCGGGTTGACTGCAGAAGCGGTCCAACTACCCACTCGGACCGGGGAACCCACCGGGTCTCGGGTCGATCCGGCCGGTTCGAGCCGAATTTTAAAACACTGGAATAGACATCTTCTATGCTCTCAAAATACATAGACAATATGTGAGATATATGTATGTACATCAAAATATCATCCCACTACACATGCTAGCTTGGCCTCGTGTCAAATGATGCTCATGCACCATCAATTCTTGTCCCTGAAATATGGTCCTTGTAACATCCCGAGCGCTGACGAGGGCGAGGAGTGATCGCCGATGCGAAAGGGCATGGACAAGGAGCGGCTCCTGACAGGCTTCCAGTGGGGGGTTACATGCATGAATGAATCGAATCGACACTCGAAAGAGAGGGATTCCAAAGACTGTGCAGGTATGAGACTGCACAGTTTGGGATAGTTTATAAGAATTAATTAGTACTACCTATACTAACAAGATGCATCTACTTTTCGGTAGCCCAGAACAGAAGAACTCCATAGTTAAGCGTGCTTGACTTGGAGCAATTTCAAGATGGGTGACCTCCTGGGAAGTTTTTCCAGGAAGTGTGCGAGTGAGGAAAAAGCACATTGAAAAGTCTCGTGTTAGTATGTGGGGATAGTCATTGATTCTTAAAGCGGACTGGCGTTACAGTCCTCACACGGGGCGAGATAAATATTTCAGTAAACTAAGGGTCTTTGGAAGATTCCTCCAGCCTTAAGTTCACTTCAGGTATAATAGCAATATAATCAATATAATATATCATATATCAATGCAATGGGTGCAATAAAGAATTAGTGGCCAGAGAACAATGTATGCATTACGCAAGGAATTAATCGTCTTGTGTGGCACACAAAAGCAATACATACAATGCATTATATCAATTTCCAACGCAATCACATACACCATATATAAAACAACTACCCCTTCTAGGCATAGTGGAACAGACACATGATTAACCCTAAGGACTGAAAGCTTACCTCTCGAAGCTTCTAATCAAGCTTTACCTAAAGCCAAGTGTGCATCACACTTTATACGCAAACAACACCACTAGGTAGTACTAATATCACCTATTCAAAGACATGTGTGTGATCCAAAATACATTTTATATATTAAACCTCAAGCTAATAACCATCATCCTATCAAGAGTTCAAGGTTGTAAACTTACCACTATTCTTGAAATTTCTCAAGAATAAGAACTTTGAAGTTTGATCCATAACTTGGTCAAATGTCTGGTTTTCTACTTGAACGCCAATGGAATCCTAACTACTAAATCAAACTAACATAGACTTCAATAAACATCTATGCATATTACTTAAAATGAACGGAATCTCACACTTTTCATATGCTAAAATTTCAAAAATCATGAAAGTGTTCCAAAAGGATATTTTAACACTTTTCCACTAATTAAATCATTCCCTAAACATTCTTTCCAACATAACTTAGGTACAAGTCAAGCCATAACCACCACTACTAATACAACATATTTCATAAAATACTATGTTATTCAATGAACAAGAATCTTGATCAAAGTTAGGATTACTCACCATAAAACTTCCTAGAACACTTGTAGGAGTAGTTCCCAAGCTTAAGACAAGGTCAAACAACCCTCCAAGCTTCCCTCCAACCAACCTAGCACCACTTTCCCTTGAAGATAACTCTCCACTCAATGGTTTTCACAAGGCTTTATTTACTAGGTTGTGATCACCAAGAGATCCTTAACATTTTTCATGATAAAAGTTTGTTGATTTAGTGGTTTAATCAAAAGTTGTATATTCAAGCTAGACAACAATGGGATCTTGAGTTAGAGGAAGAAGAAGCACAAAGATGGATAGGAAACTTAGTGGAAATGACTAACTTAAAGCATTAATCAACTTAGTAAAAGTCAAAAGTAACATTTGCCTTAATTTCTTCCATGTCCCTTCATCGAATTTAACATCAAGACATGTTTTTAGTCATCTTATGATTTTCAACATCTACTAACATCATTTAATAATGTCACACCACATTATTTTTAAGTTCGGGGTATCTTTTGCCTAATTGCATTTTTATTCCAAAACTTACATTATTTACACTTTTGCTCAAAAGTGACTTTAATTCCTTTAATTAAATCTCATGTAATTAATCATTCTAATCTATGATTAATTCCTTAATCAATTCACAAATTCACAATTCACATGTTAGGGTTATTATATAGTTGGTTACCATTTAATATTTTTGGGAATATTTTTCAAGATTTAAATGATGGGAGAAAGAAGTGACAGTGTGAAAGTGGAAGTTAATAATGGGTTTCAATATAAGTTCTATTTCCATGCTAGGAGAAACTACTCCATTCGTGGTATGGGAATAAAAATCAATTAAAACATGAGAATATTACTTTCTTTGGAATTAATGGACAAATCTGTGTACAAGGTTTTTCGACTTACAAGGATGGAGTAAGGATTGATTGTACGCAATTTTATCCTTTTTTTTTTTACAAATAAGTTGTTCTCTGGATTCGTATTCATGATTTTCTTATCACAACGAGCAATTTTACCGCTATTTCAAAATTCACCCTCTTTTCTTTTGAATTAATATTGCTCAAAAATATTTTTTTACTAACTTGTACCAAAACATAAGAATGTCTATACTTTTTAGATTACTTTTTCATGAACAACTTACAATCCTTGAACAATAGCAGGCACTACTTATAAAAATGAAGTATCATTCTATCGAACACGATTAGACTCGTGACACTCACATAACTTGAATTTGAGACCTCTAATTTTGTAAAACAAGCTCTTTATCATTTGTTGGTTGTCTTTGTTCCTTTTCGATGTGCATATTTTGAGAAAGTCACTAAATATATAATCTCCGAGATAAATATTTAGTGCTCTGTATTACTTTAAAGTCACTAAGAGTGAATTAGTGGTAAAGGATTTGGATAATGCATGAGGTTATAAATTTAAACCTACAGAGGTTATTCAAGTTCACTGCACTTGAATTGAGACTAAGCTGGAAAGGTTTATATTTTATAGGGGGGTAACAGGTGACAAACGATTTAATAAACAATTCGTTGTTGAAGCTCTACCCTTATCATCTATGTAGGTAACTGCACTAGTCTTCTTCACTGCACAGGCATTTCTTAATGGTTTAATGCTTAAACTATATTGATTATCATATATTACATAATATTATTTTTGGGAGAGGTTTAAAACTTTAATCTTGGGATCCATCCCGAATCAGACTATTCACGAAGTGATGAATCGATTGGAATATCTCCAAATTTTTTTTTTTTACATAATAATGTATCTTTTAAGTTAAGTATAAATTATCATACAGTGAAGTGGTTCTATCACAATTAAGTGACAAGCTTCATCAAGAGTTGACTACAGGCTCCATCAATTTTATGATTTCCATCATAATTCCTGCAGCTCCATGAGGATGTTTAGTGAAACTCACCATGTACACTGATCAGATAAAAATATGTGTAAATGCATGTTTTTACTTTCCTCCTCTTTGATAATGGTAATTGTTGACACGGTTCTTATCTTATTGCATAGAATATATATATTGAAGGCCTAATTGTCCCAAAGCCCAATATCCAAAGTTGGTTGCGCCGCCAGCAGTTTTATAATTTATAAGGGTTTCGATTTTCTCATGTGGTAGGAGAAAATTTTCTCATGTTATAGACACATCTTATGTGGGTCACATCTATTAAAAAATAAAAGAAAATATTGTACAAAAATCGAAGGATCAGTGGTAGAAAAAACAACTCTCCTACGACATGAGAAAATATTTTCCCAATTTATAAACTATTAACATTTTCACAGTTTTTAACTTAGCTCTTGGACTAGTTATTTGTAGACACGTATTCATTTTATTTTATTTTTTTGAATTATAGGAAAACAAAATACAACTACACACCCTATTACACACACCCACACCACTAGGCTAATCCTGGTTTTTTTTTTTGTCTTTTATTTAATAAGGGTAAATTGCACTCTACTATTTTGATATTTGTTAAAAAGTAATATTAAACTCCAATCTCTCACCATAAATTAGACGTCATTTCATTTTTTGTCTTTGACTAACTGTTATTAACTTCAAAGTAAAAATGTATTCTAAGTGAACTGTTTAGTAATTACATTATTAGGCGTAAAAGACTTTACAGCTGAATTAGTTGTCACCTTCTAATTTTCTTATGTTTTATTGTTAATTAAAATATGAATACATATAAAAATCCAACAACTGTTTATGAAAAAATATTTAAAAAATAACTGAAAAAAAAGAAATTAAAATAATTAAGCATTAGGTATATCAAGTTATCAATCAAAGTCATTTAAAATTATTCGATTGCTCATCTACTTCAAAAGCTCTATCGTAATGACCTTTCAATTGCAACAAACTTTAGTTACAGTTCCTAAAGTATATTAATAAATTGAAATTTTATCCATACATTCCAATAAATAAATTAGGCAAAAAGAATCATGTATAAATAGTAATGTCGAACATAATTTTGGTAATAAAAAAATCGTATTAAATTTTTTTCTTTTAAATCAATACATATTTTTTCTTTAATGGATTAGAATTGAAAGTAGCGAACAAAACATAAAGCAAAGAGGAAATTAGAAAATAATTCATTTTATTCCTTTCTTATTTACTTAGGATAAAATTTTGATTAGCATTATGTATATTTAATTTACATCGATAAAAATTTGATTGTTAAAATTTAAATTTAGCATAAAACCTTATTTTAGTTCCTAAAATATACACTTAATATTAAAAAAAATCTATATTTGTAAATAAGATTTCAATATGTTATTCCAAAAAACTTAAGCTATTAGATAAAAGCAAGCGAATGATTTTATATTATACTTTTAACATCTAACATTATAAGAATAGCTTGTTTGAGAAGAATCTCATTGTTATATAATTAAGGAGGGATTCAATTTTTTATTTTTATTATTTTTAGGCATGGCAATCTCACCTCAATCTCCATGGAACCTACCATGCCCCATCCCATGCGAGCTAGGGCAAAAACAAGCCTAGTTGGGAGATGGGTGGGATGCGGGTTTGGAATCAACTCATTTCGCGTCAGATATCCAATTCACTTAACAAAAAAATATTATGTTCACTTTATAGTTAATAACATAGTCAATTATTATACACTAATATACTATTTAGCATGATAAATTAAAATAAAGAATAGGAGGAAGAAAATGTTAATGTTAAGATGGAAATATATTGTTTTTTTTTTTCATTTGTTTTATATTTTATACATTAAATTTGCATGGTAATTCATATTAGCTAATTTGTTTGTGTAAAACCTGACTTATTATTATCGGTTTAAACACTTGTTATAAACATGCATTTTAATTTGTACGAGATGTTGGATTGATTTTAAGATTGTGATTAATTATTGTATAAATATTTAAAATAATCATAAGTGCACAATAAGATGGATAGAATGTGAGTTTTAATATTTTTCTTGCGAGACGGGTTATGGTTTTGATCTTAGGAGTCTGGGGTGAAGTTGAGTTCAACAATAAATTGCCGCATTGTCAAGCCTATTTCATGCTTCATCTTTTGTACCCTCAATTAAATGCTAATGACTTAGGAAAAACCTAAAAGTCAAGAGTCATGTTTTTGCTAAGTTATCAGTATTCAATCAAAGTGATAGAGAAAGGGACATGGAAATGAAACTGAAGATTTGATTCAACTATAAACCAGTGTTCTAAAACTCCGTTCCGGCTTCCGGGTTGACTCGGGTCAACCTTGACTCCTCTCCTTTGAGGGTTGGGGTCACAAGTTTGACCCTATATGTATATCAATCTCTCCAACCCCCAAAACTCGGTCGGGTTTCGGTGACTCCCGGGTTAGATGAGTCAAAGGGGTCACTGCATGTTTTTTTTTTTTATAAAAAATTCCATGAAACAACATTGTTTTATTAAAAAAATAAAATAAAAATACTTGCAAACCTAAATTTAATGGTTTTCTTCTCTCCTAGCGTCCTAGACGTTTTCAATCTTCATCTCGCTGCCGTGAATCTTCTAGAAAAGGTAAGAATTTTACCCATTCAAATGAAATCTTTACGGTCGTCGATGGAAAACAAAAATTCATTCTTACTTTGTTTAAATTTTCCTTTGTCAGAGACCTTCTCAAAAGAGGCAGAACCGGGTCAACGTAATGACCCCATTAGAATATGAGTTTTGTACTTTGGTATCTTGATACTTTAATTAGGTTATGTAATATTGACTTGTGGTTGTAATTGGTGAATTATGTTAAGTATATTTTGAACCTTTGATTATTGATGTTTTTTTTTTAATATTTTCATATAGGATATATATATTTATATTTTTTTAATATATAAAACCGGGTCAGCGTAGTGACCCCGTAACCCTCCGATTGAACCCCTAATCCCGTGACTCCTAACCTCGGCCGAGTCGATAGCCGGGCCGGATTTTTAAACACTGTTATAAACTCCTAGGTTGAGGTGCTTATTGTTGTAATGTGTATCAAGAGGTTTCAAATGCATATTGCAGCTGCTGGCTTGCTTGCTTTTTCTTATTCCTTTCATTCTTACTTGGTAAACTTTCAATCAAGTTTCTTTGTTGCTTGGAAGAAAAAAGAAAAAGCATAGAAGACTTGTTATGAACTGAATATGATCTCCTTTAGAGTAATGTAACACTTATATATTATACGGAAATGTACATCACCATTCTTCGGCACATCTCTCACTTTTTTCTTTTTTTTTGTCAACCCAGGTGTGTGGTAAAGGTCAAAGTTCGCTTTAGAAGTGTTTCTCCAAGCATTGAACTTTCGATCTCGAGGTTTACACTGCCACTTTTAATCACTGCACACCCAATGGGTGATATTCTCACACTCTTTAATCCTTACTAGTGAGTTGAATGATAGTTTTGGCTAGACGCTGAATTTTATGCCTTAATGTCATTTACCACATATAAACAAAGGGGAAGATTATATTTGCAAATATTTTGTTTATAAACTCTTACAAACTACACTATATCTAATCGATCACACTTCAATCAATCGATCCTCTTATTTTTAAGCTAGAAGCTACTTATAAGCTAAAGCTAAAAAAAGAGCTTAAAAAAATAAGCTAAAAGCTGTTTGGAAATTACATAAAAGTTTTAGCTTAAAAATTACTTAAAAGCACATATTTCAAGAAAATTATCTTTCTCTCTATCTTTATCACTCTTCATTTAAAAAAAAAGCACACAATTCAAGAAAAACAGATAAGAGCTTAAAAAAAAGCTCCTCCTAGGAGCTTTTAATTTTCAGCTTTTTTCTTCATTATAAAAAAAAGAGCTTTTCGTTATAAGAGCTTTTCCCAAAATCTGTTTGGCCTAGCTTATTCTTATAAGTAGCTTCTAGCTTAAAAATAAGAGGATCCAAACAGGCACTTAATATAATTTGTAAAACAAAAATTATAAACGAATTCTTCCCCCTAAACAAATTGTCCATTTCTATGAACAATTTGCTTAAGAAAGTAATAAAAGGAAGTCTATTAACACTAATTTCAACTTCACAAGTGAATAGTGACAAATACAAACAGCATAGCACATTTTTACATACAGATATTAGCACACTTCGGCTTTCACAGCAACCCTCCAATTTAATCATCCGGTAAAAAACCACAAATCCCGACTTGCAAGTGCTAGGATGAGGCAAATCTTTTCACACAACCTTACCATTATATTTTTTTGCAAAGAGACTGTTTAATATATTCAAACTCGTGACATTTCAATCATTTTTCTATGGGTTTAAAATTCCTATAAGTAATCACTGCATAAAAGGGATCTGACCCTGACATCAATCCAAAAAGCCTCATGATCCAACCAATTGGTGACTTGTTCCCTTGAGCATCATTAGTAGCTGGTAACTTTCTAACAACCTCTGGCTCTGTGAAACCTTCCACAGATTGGAAGTACTGAACCACAAGTCTTACCCTACTATAAGCAGTCCCTTCTCTCCATGCACTTATGGCTTTCTCATAAAACATTCTGTTGCTAAAACTCACAATGAACACCCCTCCTGGCTTTAGCACCCGGAACACCTCAGCAAATACCTATAAAATCTCTACATTACTATAAGTATAAATTCAAGATTGAATACATGAGCTTTGGGAAATAATGCATGTAAGGTCATAGAATATCTAACCTTCTCTGGTTGTTGGAGATATTGCACACTAACTGTGCATAACACTGCATCAAAACAACAACTCTCAAATTCAAACTGTTGATCCATGTTGAGATCCTTCACAAAAAAGTAATCCAGCCTTGGATTCTTTGCAAGCTCTTGTGCATTCAAACCATGCCCCACCACTCTTTTGTAGTTTACATCGTTGGGTAGGTGGCTAATCCAAGAGCTCGTGAGATCAAGAATCTCTGTGTTGGGTATCAACCTTTCTCTGTAAAGATTGGTCAGTGTAGAAATGAAGCCATCATCTACATGGGTCACCAAGCGTGGATATGCATAGAACTCTTTATCTGGGTATATGTTAAGTTTGGTTCTACCTTCTTGGGTGAGAACAAGGCGTTTAATTTTGCCGGCAGAGGATTGTTGATTGGTTTGGTAGTTTTCATTTGAAGTGTTAACAATTTTGATTGGAGTTTTGGTAAGGGGTGCAGAGATGAATTGGAGATTGGTTTGCATAGTTAGGAGTTAGGAGTTGCTGTTTGTGGTAAAAAGTGGACATGAACTTTGAGTCAATCAAAACCAAACTCTAATTTTGTTTATAATTAATATCACATATATTCTTGTGGATAACCAATCAATGGTTGTGAAAGCATATAGAACTTTTTCAATTTTTTTTTTTTGTGGGCCCAAAATGAAATTAAATTTGTATTGGTTGATCCATAGTGTAGTCTACATGTATAGCAAACTTCCTAACTATGCAAGTGTCCCATGTTTTGTTTGATGTACTTGATTGGACTGCAGAGTTGCTTTGTTTTGGGCTCGGCCCATTTGTATCTTTGAGCCTTTGATGCTTAATATTGTCCAACATAAAAAAAACTTCATAACAATGAAAATAAATGTAAAGGCTTATATTTATTGGGATCCATTTCTTTAGGACCAATTTATAAAGGGAATTATTTTTATCATGTAACATAACCTAAAATCATCTTCCTACACACACAAATTTATATGGGATCCACTTTAAATTTTTTCTCTTTTTCTTATTCTCTCTCCTCCTTTTGTGAGAGTAGGAAATTTGCTTTTAGGTTATGTTACATAACAAAAGCAATTCCCATTTATAAAAGCAAAGGTTCTTTAGAATATTTTTAATTTGAATAGACTACAAATGATAAATCTCTCAACCCAAACCCAAATCCTATTTGTTGGGCGTGCCGTCAGCAGCCCAGTAGTCACCTCTACCACCCACTATCGTCACCACCAACCTTTAGCCAACCACCTCTATCAATATTAGCCATCATTATGAGCTACTAGCCACCACCACCGTCACAGACTACCGCCACCCCAACCACCAGACATAACCACCACTGTCACCACTATCGCCATTCATCAACCCCCACAATTGCCATCGGTCACCAACGGTGTCGTCACCACCATAACTTCCACTGGCAACCCCCCACCACCACATCAACCACAACTACTTGCCACACACCACCAATCTCCATTGTCATCATTTGCCCCCACCAACACCACCCCCTAACCACCACTGCCACCACTAGCTACCATCGTTGCTGCCATCAGTCATCCATCATAATAATCAATGATAATTGTTGGCATCGTCACCATCATCTGTCGCCACCAGCCTCCACTACCACCATTACCACCGCTTCAATTGGCCACCCCTGCATGCCACCATCACACTAGCCATCACCACTAGTCATTGTCACTAGTCACTAACCACCAATATTGACGTTCAATTTAAAATTTAAAAAATTTATTTAGTGAGAATAAAATTTTTCTATATTAAAATTTCTAAATAACATATTATATCAGGCTTTTTGACCCAGTGTTATTAAAACCGGACCGACCCGGTCGGGTCGACCCGAGAACCGGTAAACCGGTCATATAACCGGTCCGGTTGAAGAAACGGACCGGCCATGCATCAGAACCGGTGTGACCCGGTCAGACCCGGCCGGTTTTCAGGAAGACACAATCTCGTTATCGTAAAACTTCGGAAGACCATAACTTTTAGCTCGGGTATCCAAATCAGATGATTTTTTTGATATCTACGCAATGACACCTCATTTGACATATTTTATCTTCCATTAACATAGTTCAAATTTGCAACAATAGTTCCTTTTTTTTACAAATTCAAACTATGTTTGTGAGAGATAAAATATGCCAAATGAGGTGTCATTTTATAGATCTCGAAAAGTTATGTGAAATAAAAAAAATCATCTGATTTGGATACCCGAGTCAAAAGTTATGGTTTTTCGAAGTTTTACGGTAACGGGACTAACGAGATTATACCACTTGGCACAATCCTGTGAGTGCCCCAGGGGAGGAGGGACGTCACTCAATTGAAAAAAATAAAAATAAAAGAATGTGTGAGTGACGAGGTGGGAGGGTCGCGGCACGGAGGGTCCCCTTCGTGTCACTTAATGACCCTCATTTGTAAATACCATGAATCAAATACCAGATTGAAAAATTAAAGGGATAAAAACCCCAAATGAGTCAAAGAGCCTATTATATCATTTACTTAGCAATTAATCAATAGATTTAAGTGTATGTATAAAATATCCCAAAAACTAGTAACGAAGACATGAACTATATTTTACCAAAAAGAAAAAGGACTTTATTATACCTATGAGACAAAGGGTCCATTTGGATGGGCTTTTTTTTCTCCAGAAGTTTTTTTTTTTTTTTTGAAAAAAAACACTTTTCATTTTTAGTTCGTTTGGATATCTGATTTTAAAAAAAGCAGAAGTCACAAAAATAGTCAAAAACCTACTTTTTTCTGAAGCTAAAAATTTTTAACTTCTAAAAAAAACAGAAATCAAAAGTCAAATATTTTTTTAAAATCTAAATATTTTTATAAAAATATAAATAGCTTTAACTTTTGTTAAAAAGACTTCTAAAATAAAGAAGAGATAAAAAATATTTTTTTTTAAAGTGCAAACAAACGGGTATAAAATCCAATGCCACTTAATCCAGGTATATAGCTGTGACTTGACCCACACTCCGTACTTCTCGAGGCACTAGATATATATCTAAGCTACAAAGCTTGAGCCAATCTATCAAATCGAACCGAACCAATCTACATGAGCAAAATATTTTCAATACCATGGATATATCGACAACTCTGTATATCCGTTACCAAATATGAAAAAAAATAACATATTTACACTATTCTTTTATTTATGGTTATTTCCTTTCTATTCCTATTTTTTTCCCTTTTTAGTAGCAGGCTATCTACCCTCGTTCTATCGAAAATATACTCCAATATGAGGCGTAAAACTTATAGATACTTTATTATCAAATAACGCATATCTCGTCTAGAGGTGGCAATTCGGGTCGATACGATATGAATTCGACACGAACACGAATACATTTAATATGAACATGACATGAATTTGAAACCAGGTTAAAACGTTCGACACAAACATAACCAACTTATTTTGTGAGTTGACACGACACAGTATGACACGAATAACCTGTCAACCCTAAACTGTGTTACTTATGATACATGTCAACACGACACCATAAGGATGCAAATAACCTTAAGAAGATTAACGCTTGTCAATTTCCGATTTGCTGGTTGACATGCGACACGACACAAATTTTTTTCAAATTATATTTTGTCAACACAAACACAATATGAATTTGAAAATGGGTCAGTCCAAAAACAAATTTTTCATGTCATATTTGTTGCATGATAGTAGGTCGTGTTGAAAATTATCACCCGGAAACCAATTAAAAGATAGAAAGAATCTTTCGAATCCACCATATGTAAGGCATCCTTGAGCTACTATATAAGGCAGGTATCTCCACAAATCACAAGTTCTCTTTTTTCCCTCATATGCTTTATTATTATAACTTTTCACCATTGACATTAGAGTCTTTTTTAAACTGCCACTGTTGTGGCCAACTGGCCTTGAATCTCTTTAGCAAATTGAGTCCATCATAAACCATCTCAAATAGATAGATATTAGAATAAAATCATGAACCTTACGTAAGAATTGAATAAATGACCTTTCAATCGAAATAAAAAGAGAATTAATTATCATTGACAAATCTTAGTTCTCATTTGCATAAGAATTTGGACATCCAACTCTGATCTCTATAGGCTATGTTGCAAACGGCACCAAATGTGTCTTGGGGACCATTGAAAACTTATTTGTGTGAAACTACCAAGAATTCATATCACCTGATAATCACATTAAGAGGAAGTGACCTAATGATGACTTTATAGTTTTAAGTCCGCTAATTTTAAAAAATGAAAACTTCATAATTAGCACTATACCAGTATCAAATTTACCAAGGGAGACTGATAACATTTCAAAGAGAGAAATACATTATGCGTGTTTGGAATGATTGATTTTGCGGAAATTATTATTTGTTATTTTTCTCTATGTTTTGTTACTGTGTTTCCAAATGGAAATATCCTTATCTTAAAATTAAATGTAGCAAGATAAGGCCTATGAGATTCCAGAAATTGATTTCTTTAATCGGAGTGGAGTGGGAATCTAACTTTCTAAATTACACCTTATGTCACTCACTAAAAAAAACTGTAGGTAATAAGGCACATACTATTTATACAAAAATAAAAATAAAAATAAAAATAAGGCACATACTATCAAGTAAAGCAACAATAAACATATAAAAGGAAAAATGAACTTAAATTGTATTACTGGAAAGAGCTTTAACTACGACAAAAGAAATAAAAATGGGGCGCTAATTGCATACAACATCGTGCATAATTGCTCTTGACAGTTGGGAAGCCCATTTTCTTTTCTTTGTTGTACAACAATTGTTATCTCTTTCCATTATATTTTCATTCCATTGTGCAACCATTTTCGTTTCTTTGTTGTAATTGTGCCCCCAATTTTATACACAACTTGTTTCGTGCCTAAATTTTTTTGAAAGTTGTGCACGTGGAGGTGGAGGAAGGAAGTTCAACTCAGCATTTGGGGTTGCAGAAGAAACAATCACTGAAATAGTACACGGAAGGAAAGTATAACAATTGTTTTCCCCTTTCCATTTCATTTTCGTTCCAGTGTGCAACCATGGTAACCCGAGAAAAAATAATATCCCTCTTTTATTGTGTTTCTTTATTAACAATTTTCCCTTAACTTGTGTGATTCTAATCCCTGCTCGAGACTTTTTTTTTTCTTTCATATACAACATTGTATGCAAACACAACTCATGCACATGTGGTTATTACATACAATATTGTGCGTAACTAATTGCACTCAACTTTATGCTCAATTAATTACATTACATTCCTGAATATTTTTAAAAACCTTATTTTTTGTAAATTGCAACATTTTAAAATCCTTTAAATACACTTCTAAAGAAACTATTAATGAATGAACTACAAAATAAGGCTATAGGCTAATTATACATATGAATTAAAACTCAACTTATAAGATAGCGTGTTGGGCCATCTACTAGGCCCATGCGCACTATCCAGACTCCTAAGTACCTAAAGGACTATGTCTAATTAATTAGATCAGGGATACTTCAGTCATTAAGACCTTCTAGAAGTTTAGTTGTTTTTCTGTCA